ACAGTGTGCATGGCGAGTGCACCGGCGGGCGTCACTGCGGGGTCAGCGGTATAAGGAATAACGCTGGCGTTTTACCGTTTTTGCACACGCGAGGCTGGATACAGCGAATGTGAAGTTTTATCGCCCGGCATTGTCGCAGCCAGCTAAACTCGCCACGCCGGTCACCGCCGTTTACGAGCCTCGGCTATCACCCGAACAAACGTTCGTCGCGTTCGGCTGTGTCGTTCGTGCGAGGCAACGACGCTTCTCTATTTGAATTTCATGCACGCGCGTGCGACGGCCGTTCGTCGCGGGTGTAATTGAAAAGTGTGCAACCTGTGTGAGCGCGCGGGAAATACGATGGAAAGTAAAGACAAAAATAATATCTAATAGTGCTGTGCACTCTGATAGAGATTTCAATTCGGTACGATAACATAGCTGAACGAAAGAAAGCGCTATGAAATTTGAGGTAAAAATTGCAGAGAAAGTGCTAAATGCACAAATCAGTGTCTACTCATAATAGAGATCCTAAAGCCGGCTATTCATAGCAGTAAATTATTCAGGATCTTTAATTGAGAGCGCATTTAAAATTCAAATGTGACAAATTCGTATTCATAGACCGTTGCAATCAATATTACTTGTATGAAATAAACACAAATACAGGTTGACGAATAATCGGATATTCACACAGCTACGATTATGTGTTTGTCAAATGATGGCATATTATGAGTGGCGATCTAACATTCGACTCGTCAACGTCCGTTAAAATCGCAAAAGCGATCAATACAATAAATGATTGGACATACCTGAAAACACACGATGCATCGCCGCCCTCGCACTGCATCCGAGTTTCCTGATCCCGGCGCTGCTTCGTCGTGACGCTCCTTCTGGCACTCGCATAGGCGCGATTCGGCCGGTAGCACACGTGTTAATGAACGCGTTAATGCCGACGATGAAACGTCGCGAGAGAGAAACGATAATTAACTCACCGACTACACGTGGTCGGCGTCGCGGTGTGCGCGTCGTTCGTCGGCCCGAGACATAATGACTCGGCCGCGGAAAAGTACACGCCGCGCGAGAGACTACCAAACAATGAACAAAAAGGACTACGTCATCGCCAGTCAATCGCTGAGTCGTCGCTCATTCATCGCGTGCTCGAGAAATCACAAACAAAACCTCCCAGCGTACCGGACCTTCAAGTCGGTCGTGTTTACCTTCGCGCGTACGAGTGTTTTTTCGGGCGTTTCGAGCCGCCAAGTGACTCGCATATCATCATTTGTATTGTAAGAGTGTCTCAATATGTTAAAATATTTTGTCGACTCGGAAAATATCGAATCGAGTTCTCGTCGGCATTGCATTAAGGGGATGCTGGAGTCGACGACGAACTCGAACAATGTCGATAATGCAGAGACGATTGTCACTAACCAAATCACGCTATCATTTTCGTATTTCTTATGTATACAGAACTTACATGAATGTGTGTTGCTTTGTTTTACCATGTTCAACGGAAAAGCTCACTATATAGTATATGTGTAAAAATCTTTCTGCAAACTTTCTCGATATTCTTCAGTTTCAAAATGCAGAGGCGAAAGTAGAGCAATGTTCTTCAAAATTTTTCTGTTTGGAGCATCCACACTTTCGGTATGAACAAGCTGCGGAACTTTTGGATTAGGCAAATATTATGCTAACTGATAGCTTGAGATTTTACATTAAAAATTTTTTGCTCGTTTTCGTCACATATCAAGCAATGCTCCTATTTATTTTTGCACGTATGTTTATTGCGTAAAATCATTTGTAATTCTGTGTAACTAATACGACGTAAACTTTGCAGAAAAATGTTAGTATTCTGTCAGTGAAGTTTTCAGCTTCAGCATCCCCTTAATTTCTTCGTTAAAATCTTCGATCGCGTTTATTTCCTTGGTCGAATCGTTATATATCTATGCGGTTGTTAGTGCCACGATGGAGACTGGAGCGCGAACATTCGGCCAGAGTGATGTGCAGAATTGATCGTGTGTAATTGGCATTCAATTATCGTCCTCTGAGTGGAAGTTTTTGTTCTGTATTAACATGGAAAATTGAATTGTTGTCTTCTTTCTGATGCTAACGAATAATTATGTCTTGCTATCGTTCACTCCACGTTAAAATTTAAAAGGCTTGTTTCGGAAGCAACCGGGATCAGGACGCTAAATCAGGAAACAAGGATAGGGATCGTGTAACTTTTTCCTAAAAGTGGAAAAGTGGAAAATTTCGACCTTGACTTTAGCGATTGTGTCACTTCTCAAACAACGAAAATATAAAAATTTGGAGCTATTTATTTTTCACAAATCCACGCTAAGAGAAAAGATACATAATCGATACCCAAAATGCAGAATGCGTTCAACGGCATCACACATTTTCATATGTGTTTATTACACAGGATTATTTGTGGTAGAGAGACTTGTTCATTAACAGAGAGATGTCTCACATACTCCATTTGCAGTCGAACGAGTTACGCAATTAATATTTACTTACTGAGATTGAGAATAAAAATTAAATACAGATAAAACGTTGTGAGATAACCGAATATTAAATAATTAAATAATTCTGAAACAAGCCTTTTAAATTTTAACGTGGAGTGAACGATAGCAAGAGATAATTATTCGTTAGCATCAGAAAGAAGACAACAATTCAATTTTCCATGTTAACACAGAACAAAAACTTCCACTCAGAGGACGATAATTGAATGCCAATTACACGCGATCAATTCTGCCATTACTCTGGCCGAATGTTCGCGCTTCATTCTCGTCGCCAATTTGTCCGCATAAATGTCTCGTTTTGCAAAAGGAGGAAGAAGAGGAGAACGAGACGAAGGGACCGCGCGAAAGAACACGGCAGAGCAGGCGATGACATTCGTCTGGGTGTAAATATAATTCGCGGTGTCTCGCGGGCGAGTTAAGTGGCCGTGGCGAGACGGTAAACGCAGAATAGGTCGCAATTAAGGAGTCGAGACGAAACGTGCGGGGCGCGACGCCACGTTCTCCGTTCGGGACTGACGCGGCCGGATTGCGCGTTTTGTTTGAAATTTGCATAAAGTACGGGGAATTTATGGCAATGTGAGAGAGAGAGAGAGAGAGAGAGAGAGAGAGAGAAAGAAAAAGAGAGAGTGTGTGTGTCTCGAGAGGCTCGACGATAGAATTAACGCGAACTGTGAGCGAGAATTAAGGAGCCTTCCCGTTCTTTGCTGCTCGTTTCCTCCTACGTCTCTCTTTCTCTCTACGCTTAAGTACTCGACTCCTTCTTCTCCGCTCTCCTCTCGGCTTCCTTCGAAAACCATCTGCTTCGGTTTCACCAGACCATGACACGCTTGGAACGAAACGATTAAATCGCGCTAAGAATGAAATTTAGAGGATAAAATTTCGACTCGTTTTTCGAATCAGGCGGACCCGGCGAGGATGCTATCTCGTTCCGCGGATTATTTATTCCATTTGGCGAGAGAACCGCGCGACAGTTTCTCGATATTCCTTTTCGAGTGAATATACACTCATGGTATCATACACACGTTGTGGCGAAAAGGAATTTCATTTATTTTCACCATTCGTTCGCTCCCCCTGAAATTCGGAGTGTATGCATAGCTAGAAAACCTGTTCTCGCGCATCTCGCATGAAGAACCCGTCAATAATAAGATCAAGACGAGCAAAGACCCTGCGTGCGGTATGAGCGCTCCCGAAGAACGTGCAGGAGAAGGTGAAGGGCCAATTACCCATAATTTCGTGTCTCGCGTAATTGGAGGAAGAGAAAGAGGCGGCAACGAAGACGGAGACGACGACGACGACGACGACGACGACGACGACGACCACGACGACGACGACGACGACCACGACGACGACGACGACGACCACGACGACGACGACGACGACCACGACGACGACGACGACGACCACGACGACGACGACGACGACCACGACGACGACGACGACGACCACGACGACGACGACGACGACCACGACGACGACGACGACGACCACGACGACGACGACGACGACCACGACGACGACGACGACGACCACGACGACGACGACGACGACCACGACGACGACGACGACGACCACGACGACGACGACGACGACCACGACGACGACGACGACGACCACGACGACGACGACGACGACCACGACGACGACGACGACGACCACGACGACGACGACGACGACCACGACGACGACGACGACGACCACGACGACGACGACGACGACCACGACGACGACGACGACGACCACGACGACGACGACGACGACCACGACGACGACGACGACGACCACGACGACGACGACGACGACCACGACGACGACGACGACGACCACGACGACGACGACGACGACCACGACGACGACGACGACCACGACGACGACGATGACGGCCCGTCTCGAGAGCCCGTTCATTCTGTACTTCAACTCCGGCTGATTTCCGCTCATCGGCGATCTCTCGCGTCTCGTTGGTCACGGAAGGGAGTCAGGGATTAATTCAATTCGGTCTAGCTACCGTGGATTCCAGGGACAAACTATGCTGCACGCTCCTAAATCCTAACCGCTTCTCGTTAAGACCGTGCTACACCATCCACCGGCGAACCGCGATTGTGATTAAGGGCGACGTCGCGCGACGTAGCCGCGCGGCCGGATTAGCTATCAGTGGATTCCTCGCAGAGAGACGGCAAATCGCGCCAAAGCCGATTTGCCGAGGGGAATACTGTCGAGGAACCTTAGACACGCGGAGAATCGCGTCATTGAGCGAAATCGTAAATCGTGGAAATTGAATGAAGGATCGTCGAGTGCTTGAGAGACGGAAAAGGGGAGCACTTTCATACTTGAAGCTTTTCTCTCTTCCTCTTTCGTGTTTCAATACCTCGAAGAATTATTCAGAGCTCGGATTTCCCGTGGCCCAACAAATGGAGTCCGATTGTTATTGCGCGTATATCTCGCAGAGTAATTACTTAATTAACCGCCGGTTAATTACTTAATTAACGATTCACCCGCGACCTTTTCCAGCACGCCGGCGTACGATTACGCGCCGAATCCCGACAAGCAGTGGATATTGCAAGTGACGCAGAAGATGCAGCCCATTCACAAGCAGTTCACGGATCTCTTAATGACGAAGCGACTGCAAACTCTACAGAGCGTCGACGCCGCTGTAGATAGAGTACGTACTACTTTCAACGTTTCACAGAGTTATTTACGAAGCTTCTCGGACTTTCCTTTAGGGAAGAGAAGTTTATCGCAGAACTATTTCGCCGTTGCGAAATTGCTCTTTACGAATCTAGCGAATGCGCTAGGATTTCGAACATTCTTTACCTACTTGCATTGACCTTACGCATTTTTTACACGCAGATTTATCAAGAGTTGAAGGACCTGGGCGAGCTGGATAATACGTATATCATATACACGTCCGATCACGGATACCATCTGGGACAATTCGGCCTTATAAAAGGCAAGAGTTTCCCGTTCGAGTTCGACGTGAGGGTGCCGTTTTTAATCAGAGGTCCTGGCATCGAGGCTGGATCCGTGTAAGTCTCTCGATTGCGCATATCTATCGGGTCGTCGCGAAAGAATCGTCATTTCTCTACTCAATTCTGACTCGCGGAAAGTTTTTCATCTGGATATTAAAAAGAAAAGTGAAAAATGTCGAGTCGCGAGAGGAAGATATATATATATATATATATATATATATATATATATATATATATATATATATAATTTTACCAATAAAAATTCTCTCTTAACGCTCAGAGCGACTGAATAGTGTTGTTTTTGATCTTCTTTCGCGAGCACGTGCACGACAATCCTCTCACGACTCGACCTAATGATACTCTAAGCGATCTCTATTATCGAAGCTCAATTACGCGCATTTCCCAACGACCATTTATGCAGAAATTATTTCCCTACGCGCTGATATGCGCCCGATATACCTGCGTTTCGCAAGGATGCTTCTCGCCGATCGCGTTAATTTCACTTTCCAGCGGTCGATGAGTGTGCCCCGTCGAATAATATATAATTATCGCGATCTGTACATAAATCCCCGCTCTTAGGGGAAGGGGGAAAGAGAAGGATAACACGCGAATGGCGAGTAATAATTCCTGCCGCTGTAGACGAGGTAACGCTGCGCGAATGCTGTGGCGTTGCCGTTGCTGTGGTTCGACATCAAAGGTACAATCTACTTGTTCGCTTAAACATCCCGCCAGGATTTCACGACGGATAAATAGAACACTTGCTTGTTGTAAGTGGCCGTTGTCTGGCCGCGTCTCTCGTGGAGTCACGGTACCGTTGCACGAGTAAGCCCGAAAACGCGATAAATTATCGCGTGGACCGTGAGGCGAAATCGCGTCGCGAACAAGCGGACGATGTGTATGTGTGTGTATCTGTGTGTGTAACACAGGTAACTGAAAGAGAGAGAGAAAGAGAGAGAGAGAGAGAGAGAGAGAGAGAGAGAGAGGCACTCCCAAAACTTCTCACTCGTGCGAATGCAAACTCGCGCGATCGTTTCACCAGGAGCCAAGTTATGTGTAATGTTTTCGCGACCTCGAATCGATCTCTCCTTTCGGAAAAAAGACCACTGTCTTTTCTCTGTGAAACGACATCCCTCACCAACAGAAGCAGATTACTACTAAAAAAAGAAATTCGATGTCCCTCGCTAATTGTACTAATTGGAACGCGCGTTGTCTCACGCTTGGGAATATTTGGGAAAATTATTATCGTTGCTCTTTGCGCGCGTGTGCGCGACGGGAGAAAAGAATTTCCTTACCGATGTTGCTCGAAGTCTTGGAAAGAAGGAGGGACGAGAGGGAGCGCAAGATTTCGTCTGATTTTTCGCCATATTTCCGTTGCGTGAAACTCTCCTGCCGTATGAACGTCGGTGAAAAGTTACCTGGAGGAATAAAATGTACCTTAAATATTCAAGAGAGCACGAGGAGTAGCAAAGGATGAAAGGAAAGAGTTTGAAATTTCCTTTCAGGATAAAAAGTCATGGTAAAAATTTCAACTAAAGATCTGTCTAATGTCAAAGGGAAGGACTTTAAATCAGTCAGAGTAAATATCAGCCAATAAATAATGTTCCTTTCATCGCAAAGTAGTTCAGGTACCCTCCCCAAGTGCAACCATATGGCCGTAAGAGGTTTATAAGATATCAAGTACACACGCCGTGCGCGACGCGCTGAGTCATTATAAACGCTGTTACCCGTGAAACTTTGGCCGAGACAAATAAACGCACGAAATGTGCGCGCGAGCTTCCCGACGACGACGACGACGTCGTCGGCTCGCGAACGGGAACGTCCGCGTTAACGTTGCATCCACGTTGCAGAGTAGACGACATAGTTCTGAACATCGATCTGGCGCCGACGTTCCTGGACATCGCCGGCGTCGAGACGCCGCCGCAGATGGACGGTCGTTCCTTCAAGAAACTCTTCCTCAAGTGAGTACTCTCTTTCTTTCTTCGTATGCATTTAACGCTTCAACTCCTTGAAGCATATCAACCGTGTCCTTACCCTTTAATATTTCTTACGTTTCTTTTCTTTTCTCAATTTGCAAGATCTTCGGAAAAGCGCGAAAACACAACGCGAGGAATTGGCTAATTCGCGTTCGCGAATTTGACGGGAACCCTACAAAAATAGATCGTACCTTCCTGTTTCCAGCGGAGCTCTATTTTTATTGGCGATTTCTTTTTCTCCCTCCCTCTTTTTTTCGATGGAATTTTGTTGCGCAAAGAACGGCTCTATTTTCTTACATCAGGCGGCCGATTGCATCGATTCGCTGGCCTTGAGGGGACTTAATCATTTATTATCGTACCGTCGCGTCGCACACACGATTCCCACGCACGCTCCTCGCACAGACCGCGACTTCCGATGGAGTGTGGAGTTTAACGACGTTTCCCGAAACGCCTAATCTTAGCGCGGGCGGTGTAACCGGATTTCAAGCCGTAGCGAGTGAAATTGCTGTTTTATAACTTCATTAATTTGTCAGAACTTTCCGACTTAGTTAGGACGAAGTTACGTTATTAAAGTGGACTTTTCGCGGCGCCACTTTTTGCAGGTTCCACTTCTCGCAGCTAGTTGAAATTTCCGTTTCTCTTGTAACTCCAGTATAAATTATTATAACATTAGCAATTCCGTTATGTGCGATGTGTATCCTCTTTTGCTCCTTTTTTTTGCCTTTTCTCCATTTTCTCTTCGACTGACTTTCCGCGCCGTCGGTCGCGTTTCGTCGTTTCATCGCAGTGAAGCCAAGTCCGCTGTTGCAGTAGCAAGCACGGCAGAAGGTCAAAGTTCAAGTGGCCAGATACGTTCTTGATCGAGTCCTCTGGCCGCCGCGAGACTCCGGAGTCCATCGCCGAATCGAAGGCGCGGGAAGCCAGGAGGCAAAACGCCACGCAGAGCAAACAGCCGCCAAGCTCGACGCCGGAAGAGGAAGAAAACATCGCCGACTCGGATACCGATATCGAAGCGGAGCATCGATTTACGGACAACGACACCGGCAGTGACCAGGATATCTCGGAGGACGAGGACTTTGAGGATTCGATCATCGACGAGACAAGTGAGTCGCTACTCCTCGCATTGAACTTAAAGCAACGCGAGAAATTCAAGACTGCTCAGAATTAATTAATTCTTTACTTCGCGAATGTCACCCAAATTTCTTGTAAAGTAGGAAAAACGCTGCGGCGGCATCCTCCGAGTTTTTAATCTAAATCTGAACTAGTTAAAGTTTCAGAACTGCTTTCTAACTCGAAAGTCGCGGGATTTCTCGAGTTTTATAAGAAATTTTGGACGACGCTATACACGACGCTCAAGCAGAGGGGTTAATAGTCTCCTGCTCAACTTTTAAGGGCCATTCAACAATTACGTTATACCACGAGAAGGGATGGATCAGTTTACGTGGTGATCTGCGGTGGCAGGCAGGGGAAGTAAAGGCTATAAAACGTTGCACATATTCCTATACCTTTTATATTTTTATATCTTATATCTATATATCGATATTCTGCAGTAATTCACTATCTTTTCATGTGCTGCTTATATTTTAGGAACTAAAATATGCTATTAAAATATTTGCTGTGTTTCTAGCCAAACTTACTGTGTTGCTTAGCAAGATAGATTTTACTGGCAGTCTATTCCTGGAGAATATTACTAAAAATATGAGAAAATTGAGAAGAATTTTTAAAAAAGAAAGAAACTGTAATATCCTCGCTGTGTAGAAGAGGATAGAGTAGCGACGTCGATTTCTCAAAGATCCCGGATAGATCCGTTGGCCGTGGACTCTAACAGATGCTCCGCGGCGCGGCATTTTATAAAACCTACCGTTACGCCAGATGCTGTAAGTTACGTATTACGCGCGTGTACGCGTGTACGCGCGCGGAGGAACTCGTTCCTTCCCCGGCATGCATTAGCATAAATACCCGGTCCCGGGGATTGACGGGGCGCATCTCTCCTCTCTCTCTCTTCTTATTTTGCCCGCCGAGATTATCGGACGGCCGTACTTTGTCACGGGGATATTTTCGGCGATGGGCCCGCGTCAGCAAGTGAAAGCGTGAGCGCGTCGTCACGTATATGTGCATACACGGGCAAGCCGCGTTCTCCCGACGCGGGAATCTCGCGCAAAGAGGATACACAACTCGGCGACGTGTGCGCGGAAAAAATGGCTGGTTGCGTTGAAGAGACGGGTTTCTCCTCCGTCGAGGAAACGGCCGAGTTCCAATCCCGTTTCATCGGGGGAGCCCATGAACGATATACCGTGAAATTTTTTCATCGCTCACGATAATCCGCGATACATTGGCTGATTCCTCTTTATCGTCGTCACACAACGCGCCGCTTCGAGCAAGCGAAGAGTTCCGTTGTTTCACAAGGCCGCGTCTAGTTTTACGAGTATTTGCTCGCGTATCAAGTTCCGCGCCGAACCCTCGCGCCGTTCCGTGCGTCGTAAACGTTCGATGGGTTTTACGTAGGTTTCCGTCGCAGGCCGACGATTTCCTCCTCGGGGAAAACTGTTTTCGCAAAGTGCATCTCGTTGAAGCGACATGTACGGGATTAAGAGAGAAATAAGGCCTTAAAATTCTTTATAGTTTATGACATGTATGATCTTAGGTATCCAAGAGGGATCCATTGGACGCCTCGAGGTGTTACGAAACGACGTGTATAAAAAAATTAATGTACTGTACGAAGGAATGAATATCATATGCAAAACGCGTTCTACTCCGAATTCTACGAAGAGTGGACTGAACGTATAGAAAGGTTGGTGTAGAAAGTCACTCAACCGAGCGATTTTTTTCAGATTCGGAGCTGCACCTGGACAACAGAGTACATACCCTGTCGACGAAGCACGAGCGGCTCGCAGCGGAGTGTTCGCGGCCAGAAGCACAGACCGATTGCCTGCCCGGTCAAAAGTGGCGATGCGAATGGGACGGACACCGTTGGCGACGGCATAAGTGCAGGTACGCGGCACCTCCGCCGTTGCAGAGGGAGTCGAAGAAGTGCGCCTGCTTCACGCCGACCGGCGTGGTCTACACGAGGCTCGAGTCCAACAATTACGACAGACTCGGATTCGCTCGGGAGCGCAGACCCGCGGATCCCTACGGCGATATGCCGAGATACTTCGCCAAACGAGGTGTGTCCTTCTCATAAGAACGACAATGACTTTATCTCGCGTGATAAGAAACGTCACATGTGGTGACTGCGTCAATTAAAGTAATAAGCTGTAAACATCAGCACTTGAGCTGCTATAACGCCGTTTAAGTCTTTCGTATCTCTAACTGAATCCTGAAAATTTTCTTAAATTTATGATGAAGTTTGACCTCGCGCAGGCAAACGAGAAGTGTCCAACGATACCGTGCTAGATCAAGGGAACGACGAGGACTTCGATGTCTATTTAGAGGACGAGCGCGATAGGCGCGCGGTCGACGAGGAGGACGACGAGGACTTCCTGCAAGAGTTGGATCTGCTAACGCAGCAGATGAAGAAGGAGTACGCGCGAGCCAGGTACGAGAGTAATCGTCGAATATCGCAGAGCTCGAGGGAACGCGTTGCCTTATTGTTATTGCAGGAATGCGCGTGGCGATGGAACGATCATCGACGACGATGGCATCGACAGGGAGGACACGCTCGACCATCTGGAGCAGCAGGTTTCCGGCTATTCGTCCGACGACTTCGACCTCACGTTAGACGAAGTCATCAAGGGCCGATTGAACGTGGACGACGTGGTCAGGAGGCACCGTAGGGTACGGCGAAGTGTCGCGAAGAAGGACACCATAGAGCACGTGACTAAGATCATGGAGAGCATAGAGGAGGAGTTGGACGACTTGAAGGTAACCGCCGCGAAAATATCTTTCGATCGCCCGGTGATCGCGTTGCGCTTCGCGAAATGAAAAATGCCGTCTCCTCGACAGCAAACTCAAGCCCGTCACTCGTCCGAAGTAGTGAGAACACCGAAATGCCTGGTCTTACCGAAGGGTGGTGTCAATTGCACCGAGGCGGTGTACCACGATCCTAACGAGTGGCGGATATCGAGACGGGAAATCGAACAGCAAATACGGAAGATGCGAGAACAACTGGAAACGTTGAAGGTGAGCTTCGCGAAAAAAGCTTGGCGAAAAAAAATAGATATATATATCTTCTAACTATACGGTATTAATTTCCGTTATTGCATCGCAGGAGATTCGCCGACACCTGATGAAGAAGCGGCCGCAATTCGTCCCGGACAACGAGGAGAAGCTCGCCGACGCGGAGGAATCTCACGGCTCGCACAGACCTTACCACCATCCTCCGAAAGGTCATACAAGTCGCCACCACAAGAAATACGACAAGACCACTCACGCGAACGCGGAGCGCGTCACGAGCACGTCCACGGAGTTCGCTACAACGGAGACCGCTACAAGTACGGTTGACGAGAGAATGTCGACGACGAAGGAGAAGCCCGACAAACACAGCACGATTTCAATCGAGACTGCCTGGCCCGGGGCCAGCAGTGCGACTGAGACATCAACCGCGGCGACCACCACTTCGGGCAGGTCGAAGAAACAACCTCGCCGGCAGAAAACGAAGGAAACGAACCGAACGGAGACCGAGGAGGACAAGCCTCAGAGGCGCAGGAAGACGCATCATCATCGGAGGAACAACACGCTGCTCACGAACAGCGTGCACGACGACGTGGCGCCGCGCGCGACGCAGGTGAACGTGACCGTCGTCGCGGACAACACCGGCGAGACGACGACGTCGATCACGCAAGACACCACGTCTCACAATAGACACAACGACGGAGAACGCGTCCTCACGACCATGCCCGTCACAATGACGGCGACTGTGCAAACCACCACTGTGCAGCAAGCAGATGTGTCCCGGAGCGGCAACGACCTTCAGCACACGGATCGCGGCGCGGAATCGACGGCCACCGAGCAACCACCGGGGACCACCGCGACGATAACCAACATGCAAACGACGGATACACCGAGGACTAACCCGGTGACTGGCAAAACTGCGAGCCCCGACCGATCGCGAAATACACCCATCGGTACGACACCGACGATGCCGACGACCACGCAACCGTTGAGGAAGTACACCAAGGTGCAGAAGAATAGGACGTCGGGGATTCTCGGGCCAGCCAGAATAGACGTTACGATTCTCGAAGCTCCTAGCAGGAGGCACAAACAAGGTACGCTCCGGGAATATCGTTCTATTGCCAAGAAAAGCGATCAATCAGTTTATTTTTCCTCTTTTAAGTAATGCTTCAACAGAGAAGATTTTCTTGTTAATGATCTCAAAAGATACATTGTGAATTTTAAAAAACTCATTATCATATACTCGAAAGAAAAATGTATTCTCGCAAAAATGTTACGAGACTTTGTCGAAGAGAAAGTTGCTTGAACTCTATACAGCAAGTAAATCGAATTTTTGCTTAAATATTCTTGACTGAAATGCTAAACTTACTTGGATTCAGAATGTTTTGAATAAATATGATGCTTCTGATAAACTTATGATAGATTCGCAGATATATAAAATACTTGAAACATTTGCTTGAATGTATTTTTCTGTGTGCACGTCGCGAATGAAATGATCGTATTCTTTTCTTAACTGCGTATTTTGTTAACTATTTTTAATTCCTCGAGCAAAGCTCTTTATTGCGTAACTCTCGATCTTGTAGGTGCGAACGCGAACAGTAACAACGGTCGGTCACCGGTGGTGCAAAACGGCTCGTTGGAGGCGCGATACAAATGCTACTGCGAGCCCGACACAAAAAAGGACGAGAAGGAGATCGCGAGGGAGGAAAGACGGAGATTGAAGGAGGAGCGTTTGAAGAAAAAGGAACGGAAGCTCCGGAAGAAGGCCAAGTTGGAGAAGGAGTGCCTGACGGAGAAGATGAACTGTTTCGAGCACGACAACGACCACTGGCGCACCGCGCCGTTGTGGAGCGCCGGGCCGTTTTGCTTCTGCATGAACGCGAACAACAACACGTATTCGTGCATACGCACGATCAACGTGACGCACAATTTCCTCTACTGCGAGTTCACCACGGGACTTGTGACATTTTATAATCTGAGGATCGGTGAGTTCGATGAAAAACCGAATTGAATTCTCGTCCTGCGTAAAAGCGCGAACTCTTCGTAAATGTTGTCGGTCTCACTTGAAATGATTTGTCCGCTTTGATACAGTCTAATTGTCGAAGAAAGGCTCTGAGAGATTACTTTCTCTTTCAGATCCATTCGAGCAATGGAACAGAGTGTCGTCCTTGACGCTCACTGAGAGATCCTATTTACACGACCAATTGGAGCACTTGAAAGGATGCAAAGGTACAAGGGACTGCACGGTCGGCAGTGCTAGAGAAGCTATGCCGCAGCTTCAGCAGCATCAACGAATCACGAAAAGAAAGTACAGCGACCCGTTCGGTACGTTTCGTAGATTTAACACGCGACAGCTGGTGTATATATTATTATATTGAGAGTTTGGAGTGCTAAGAGTGCTGACAAATTATTTCGGCAGAAGGTATGTTTATACCCTCGACGTTACAAATTATGCGCGAGGACGGACTTGCCAGCGCAGCCAGCAAGAAGCGGAAGAAGTTGCCGAAGTAAGTCGACATCAGTCGTACTTTACTGTTCGTCTCTAAAATTGTTTTAATTCGATGAAATATTCCATCAATGTAATAATGCCCGTCACTTTTGATTTTAGCGTTTGGAATAGGCGCAGCAGAAGCTGGCAGAGTAATTGGCGGCATCATCAAGATTCAACGAATTTTCGGCACAGACACCCGTATTGATCGATAATACATCTTTCTCTTCTTTTCTATACACATCAACAATCGCGTGACAAATTGCCCTAGGTATACGTTAATTTCGCAATGCATTTAGTAGCCTAATTTATTTACTAATAAATAACGAAGACCACGGTGATATTTGAATTAATGACATTTCGATTCCATTAGATCTTCATCGTCTACATATCGTGTGTGTTCTCGATATGCTTTGTGGCGATCGTATCGGGCGTACACCGCGTAATAGTTTCGCATGCACCTACGTGAAACGCGTTTGAATTTATAGATACGCGAAGTAATGAATTTCACACGATTGGGATTGCGAATAATCAATTTCTAGCAGAGAATATAGAGACGTAGATAGGCACGTGATTTTACTTCGTATATACACTTTTCACGTTAATTTATTTATCCTTTGGAAACGCGAACTATTTAGCGAAGGATTATATTGTGCAAGTAATGATCACGGTTAATTTTTGGGAAAAAAAAATTTCGAGACACGTCACGAGTAACGGCTAATAATGGCATTTTCACGTGAATTAATTAGAGAGATAATATTATATTAAAATCTTTTTTCTTTTAGTAAATCGACGCGAGGACTAATCTCAATAAACAATTGCTGAAAGAAACTTTCTTGTTAAATTACTGAAATCAGCTGTGTAATAGAAGACTGCGAACGCACAACGAAAACGGAAAAGAATTTAATCTTCCCTTGTCAATTGCAATGTTTCCGCGATTATTTATACAATCAGCAAGTGACGTTTACCAAATGCTGCCATTTTATTTAGCCCTCCCATTGCCTTCGTGCAAATAAAAGATATGGTTACTCTTATAAAACGCACTGCCAAAAAGAATTTACATTGATATCCTTTGTACAACTTGATACTGATTCTAGAACGGAGACGGATGATCCGAGCATTAGTTAAATTTTTAAGATCATCCAAAGATTGTAAATATTATTGTAATAACATTCTCATTTGGATTTGTCTCAGTTTTATTTCTAATGCGCGTACAATATATGTAAATTCATATTACTCTAACGAATACACAGCTGTTTTAGTAGAAAAATAATTACTAGTAATGTACAATATGTGTTGAGGAAAGTAGGATGCTGTTGATGTATATTAATATAATTAATTATAAAAAAGAACAATTGTAGACCCACTCATATTAAAAAAGTATATATTCAATCCTTATATTGCTGCTTGAAAAGCATGGTTTTAATAGAACTTAGTTTTGTCAGCTATATATATTTCAATGCGCAGCAGATATGCAACGGTTTATGAATTTATTTTTGTGTCGAGGATACAACCGCATAATACTGTGTAAGCTTTTGTATAGCAGCAATAATTATATAATCTCTCAACCAGCATTCTACCTTACCTGAGGAGCTCTGCATATTAAACAGTTATTCACCTAGTTTCATTTTGAAAAGGAAATGTAGCAGAAAAAATGAGATATCTAGCTATATAGAAAATTTAGAAAAGGAATACATTATTTCTCAAAATGTATAAGACATTAAATTAACATTATTCAGTTACCAAAAACTTTATTGTACATGAAAAGTAAGCAAATAATTTATGCACTCATTTGAAATTGTAGGATATTGAAATCTGTGAAAGAAATAATTGGACAAATATTTTCTTGAATGTTTTACGTACTAAACTCTGTAATAAAATGTTACTTTTCAGAAAACTGATTGCAACTTGAATATTTATTTCAGATAACGTTTCTGTAGGTTCTATATTATAGAAATTAAAAGTCAAGAGGATCATCTAGTTCATCGTAAGTTTCAAAAATGTTGGTAACATTACTATGATCTTTGCTGGATTTAATGTTATCTTGCAAATTATCAGATTGATCAATACCAGAATTTTTATCACAACTTATAGACGAAGGATCTTTTTCATGATCCTCAGCAACATCCTCAATTTCAAAATCAGAATCATCTATGATCTGATCAAAGTTACAAGATGCGTTGTTTCCATCATTATGCAAGAATTCCTCACCTGATATTACATTTTCAGTTTGACAAATATCTTCAGAAGATGAGTCTTCTGTATCAGACGGCTGTTTCTTTTTTGGCGAATCCAAATATTTGGTCCACTTGCTTTCAATGACTTTGTCACTGCCTGACATCTCAGAAACATTTAAAGATGTGTTATAATGAGTGTTACTGACATCTTGTTCAGAAACTACAGCAGAAAATAACTCGTTTGTTTTCAGAGAATTCAATCGTTGAACATGGAGACGACAATCTTTTCCAGATCCTTGAAAATATATCTGAAAAATGAAACAATAAGATAAAATCATTACATGTAGAAACTATAATGGGTTGGAGTTATCATTGTCAACAATTTTTCAAGTACATACTTGCTTCACAGACTGTTTTTCACCACACAACTTGCACTGCCATTTGCGCGCTTTCTTAACTATATGCACCTATAAAAATATTGAAAAAATGAAGTAAAGTGAGTCATAGTAAAACTTAAATATAGCAATATCTATGTTTTTATACTTACTTGGTACATCTTGCAAGAGTAACAACACAGAATATTCATTTCTTGCGACATTGTTCATCTAACCTGTTGTTGTCGAACCGTACACTTGAGTTTTTCAAGCACAAATCTACGACAACTATAGCTTTATCTCTCAAGTAGTCCTCTTCCGATTAATTCTCTCACTCTTTCAACAGCGGCTTTGTTACGTGCTGTTGAATAATACCGAAAACAATTGCTCAGACACAAAGCGAAAAGATTCAAAGTTGGAAACTAAACGATTATTATCGATGTTTTTAGAATATAATCGACTGCTAAAAATCGATATTCGCACAGCCGATTATAAGACAATCGATTCTAGTTTCGATATCGTCCGTCTTTATTAAAAACAGTACGACTTAACCTATATCCACAACTGGCCAATGGGATTGACTTTTTGGGCCATTACAAGAAGAAGACCTAACCTATCCCGGTAGTCGCCGTGACTACGGATCGCCGAGTAGTTTAATTTTCGCCTATTCACGTCGTGACGGACGTGTAAACAATTTGTCAAATCTTGAGTCCTAAGGTTGTCGTTTGCGTATCCTTTCTAAACAATGAGTTCGATAGGCACAGGAGTAAGTACGACATACATTTTCGCGAGATACGGTCATAAAATACGACGTTAATACAAGTGACACATAGACCTAACCTCAATCTCTCTTGTAGTATGATCTGTCCGCCTCGCAGTTTTCACCGGACGGCCGTGTGTTTCAAGTGGAGTATGCTCAAAAAGCCGTGGAAAACGGAGGGTAAGTGTCCCAGCCTCGTTGTAACTTTCGTGCGTTCTCAGGTTATGCCGAACAAAGAAGTACAACACTCGACGCTCAACGTCGCAAGCTGACTGATCGCGTTCTGTTGCAGGACAGTTATTGGCTTGCGGGGCAAAGACGGCGTGGTGTTTGCTGTGGAGAAGATTGTAACGTCCAAACTGTACGAGCCGGGTGCTAACAAACGTATACTCAACATAGATCAGCATGTCGGTATGGCAGTTTCCGGCATAATATCGGACGCGAGACAGATCGCGGAGACAGCAAGATCAGAGGCCGCGAGTTACAAGGCACAGTACGGAGTCGGTATTCCTTTGAAATACCTCAATGAGAGAGTCTCTATGTACATGCACGCATATACCTTGTATTCTGCTGTGCGTCCATACGGTTGCTCCGTTTTGCTCGGTGCTTATGAGACAGATGGTCCAGCAATGTATATGATAGATCCTTCAGGAGTATCGTATGGCTATTATGGCTGCGCAGTAGGTGAGCAAAGAGTTATGTACAGTAGAAGTACCAATGCCTGGTCATGTACCTAATTCTGGATATTCTTACTGTTCTTTCAGTATAAATATTTCAACTTTCAATATTAAATATATATATGTTAAATACTAGCTTATACTATTCTGTGTTGGCTGGCTTATCACGAGGAAATGAAATCAGGGGAAAAGGGTAGAGTATTTTATAACCTACACTTTCTGCAGAGAGTAACTATGCAAAATTTGGTCTAGATTGGTCAAAGGATTTAAGAGTTTATAAGGAACGTACAGACAGATAGACGTTCTATTACACACACAACACACATATATATATATATATATATATATATATATATATATATATATATATATAAAATTAAGTTTAAATATTCTCATTTAATTAATTTAGTATTCATATTTAAGGATTAAAACAACATGAATGTCCAGAAATTGGTACTATTACCTTACGGGTTGATTTTTTAATTTCTTGATACGCTTAACAACAATTAAATCATATGTCTGTCTTTGTTTTTTCCTTCAAATTGGACAAGGACAGACATATGATTTAACTTCTAGTTAACTTATCAAGATTAGTAAAGTCGGTCCTAAATATTGGAAGTATTCAATGTGGAATTTACATCTCATGTATATGTTATGTAGGTAAAGCAAAACAGTCGGCGAAAACAGAGATTGAAAAGTTAAAGCTGTCAGAGATGACGTGCAAGGAATTAGTCAAAGAAGCTGCTCGCATAATCTACCTCGTGCATGACGAATTGAAGGATAAGCAATTCGAGTTAGAAATGAGTTGGGTTGGCGCGCACACAAACGGCAGACACGAGCGCGTACCAGCCGACGTGAAGGCCGACGCTGAGAACAAGGCGCGGCAGGCGATAGCTGAGGATTCGGATAGCGATACCGAAGATATGTAAAGCATATAAATATTGTCGTATAAAATTCTTTATACTACTAAGAGATAATTTAAATACACGGGTATATGTAATGATTCAAACACTTCGTGATTTTTCATCAGTGAACAAATAAAGAATATCGCCCTTTGTTTATAAAACACCGGCGTATCAATACACTCGCACGTCTACTTGTCAACCTAATGTGGTGTATTAAAATGAGAAAGTATAATTTAATATAATAAGAATTATAAGTTTTACTGTGAGTACAATTCAGCATTTAATTTATTAATTTTCAACAGTATAATTTATTATAATAAAAATTATAAGTTTTACTGTGAGTACAATTCAGCAATTTTCGAGTAACGAATTACTAATTACTGTTCACATCGTTCGATAATTAAGAAAAAAATAAGTTTTTATAGTAGCTTAATGTTGCAATTCTAAGCAGAATCGTAAGTCTTGTAATTTGTTCTCGTAAAATTCGTCAGAACTTATGAGATTTATAAGACTATGCAAAATCATATGTCGTACAATTGTAAATATCGTAAATTATATGAAATCATAGATATTTATGAGTAATTGTACTACATGATATTGTATAGACTTGTAAATCTACTCATAAGTTATGACGAATTTTACGAGGACAAGTTACGAGACTTACGATTCTGCTTAGAATTGCAGCATAAATCTATTTAAACAATAGGACAGATTTTTCAATAAATAGTTTAAACTTGGATTCAAGTTTAAATTGCTATTGAGAAATCAGCCCTAAGTAGTGTTATATAATGACGAAGAGCAAATACAAATATACAAAATGGTTTCGGAAAAATTCGCAAAGCTATCTGGCTTCGTTGATGGGTTATGTATCAGCTCGATATTCGCAACGAGTTCTACAATTTTCAATAAAGCAAAACACGGGAATCGGCTTATGTTCCTTTGATGAAAGATACGTTACGTCGGATATATAACGAGCGACCGGTCACTTTGCTGCGGAAAGCTTATAACGAGCGTAATGCGCAGAAACCTTTATGGTTTTATTCCGTTAGTCTCACGTATACTCGAGATCGCTTAATTCCTTATCAAGGGTCATGATTAACGAATGTAATCTCTTTGAAAAAAAAAAAAATAATAGACTTTTATTTCTAACGATCGAACGATAACGAACGAGTTGCTATGCATCACTACCTGTTTCACCCATCACTTCGATCACATTCACTTCGATCGAGAATCGAGGCTTCCCAATTAAAAGTTCCGAGAAGAACCGTGTGACAAAAAGAAATTAAAACCTGGTCATTCCCGATAAGAAAAATGCGAATTTGATGATCAAGCTTTATCATTCATTTTTAATTGATTGATTTAATTGCCGTTAATACGAAGAATTGTTGATCACGACAGAGAAGAGGCCACATAACGCGGTTAACTGTATATTTTTGTACAATTTAACGCAAGTTTTCTCGCTGTTCTACAAGGCCTTCATTCCTGACGAATGTGCTTTAGCGAGATTAAAAGAATAACGAAAAAGCGGGAGTCGGTATTCTTCCGCGACAGATCGTAAGAAAATCGATCGGAGGGCGCAGGGAACATAAGAACAGCTACGTTCTTACGGAAAACGACAATTATCTCGTAAGATAATACAATGAGCTGCGTAACCCGAGCGAACTCTCGAGAAGCCGGTAGAATTTCATCTGCGCGAGGCCGCGTGGTTTTCAGAACCACACAATAAACGGGACGTATCGAGTTGTGCGCAGAAAAATTTTTATTTTTCCCTAAAACTAAAATCACGCAAAAACTCTAGAAATTAGATTTAAATAAATATGTTACTAGTATTCATCACATGAATATTTACTATTTTTTAGTTTTTTTGCCTTTCAGTACCGATAACTCTATTTGTGTACACAAAATAGAATGTATGGCTTGCACGGAAAAAAAGGTTTGGTTGAATTAACCAAATATCTGGTCGAATATGAACGATCCAGAAATTCCGATTGAAATAACCCGAATTCTGTTTAAGTTAACAAAATTTTTGATTGACTTAAACAGAATTCGGGTTACTTCAATCGGAATTTCTGGATCGTTCATATTCGACCAGATATTTGGTTAATTCAACCAAACTTTTTTTTCCGTGTGCTAACTGCTAAACTCTTTGACCGATCTGGACGAAATTTTGCACAGTTACTGTTTAAGATCTTGCGGGAAATATAGACATGTAACCTCCCACTCCCTCGCTCTGATTTCATGTGCTTGACGCTTTGTGATAATTTAAGTTCAGATGTTTTGGATATAAAAAGCCCGGGCAACACAGGAGTAGTTTGAGCTAGTCCTTAAAAATCCATTCATTGTCGCGTGGAAAAATCAGAGCTCGCGACTAAACAGATGTAGATCGAAATGGAATCCCGAATTGACGTGATCAGCGAAGAACCTCTGGTTCGCCGCGCGCATGCCGATTTTTCGCGCTACGGAGGTTAGTCGGGGGCGGCCGGGGGCGTGCGGGTCTCGGCGGGGGTGGCTCGGACCGACCTTTATATAAAGGTAGCCTGTGACTTTCAAACTCCATCACTGGTTTTGATTAATGCGACCGGGTCGGATTTGCCGTGCGTTCTCGTCTGTCGTCTGTTGAGCCTTCTCCCGCGTTATCCGATATCGTTACCGTTCTGTCGAGCTCGCAGCGGCCGTGCAAGACAAGATTTCTGTCTCGTGACCGCAAGTATGACACCACGGAACGGCATATCTTTGAATCTGACCACCGATTTGCCGAACAATCCGGTCGACGAACAAGCGCTTTACATTTTCGCGGCGATTGTACTCTTCTTCACCGGCTTCTTCGGCTTTTTCCTGAATTTATTGGTCATCCTTACGGTCCTTAAGAACATGAATGTAATGTGGACGTCCAACAACATCGTGCTCGTCAACATGGCCGTGAGTATCGCTCTCTCATCTAATTTTAAGTAGCACACAGATAGACAGTAGTCACGAATTCACATGAAAATCGCTCCTCCGAGTTGCACGACAGGGTGAGATGTACGCGAGATTATAATCGATTTTTATTTCATGTACGGTGTACAGTGTTTTGTGTAAAACTGCGTTTCGACTGTCGTCCGCTCTTGACCTCATCTCATGAATCTTTCTCATGTCTCCCTTAATTCTTTCTAATATTCTTATAATAAGACTGAATCCTCTATACGTGTACGGAATAAGTCCTGTGAAGTTAGAGAATTTCAAAAATTATAGCTAACTTGAGAAAATGTGTTTATTATATATGTCGTGTTTATTATTTGTTCAAAAAATAGAAACCGTCGCGTAATTCAGGGAGAGACGAAGAGAAAGTAGTTTATATGATCAATTGCGTTTTCTATTCTTTGATTAATATTACTGTTCGTATATAACGTGGAGATAGCTTTGGGGCGTTGTATAATGATTTATGAGGTCGAAATTTTAAGGCAACACGGAACGAATAGATTTCTCTCATGTAATCCGTGTCGTACATTAATACAGTTAGTTAATCGCGTGCCAATTTTGTATTTAATGTGAGCTATACACTTTAGCGTTGTAGAACATTATACAGTGTTATTACGAGAGAAATCCGTTCATTCAAAGCGGTACTGTGTCTGTGTGCGAGTGTGCGCTGCATAATCGATCCAGCAATGATAGTAATTTGAACAGCGTTGTTTATTTTTATTCACCGTAAGCAATTCAGCCAATTAATGAACGTTCTGAAACAGGAAAAACGTGATAAAATAAAAGAAAAATTTCAACGCAACGCTAATTTTTTACATACACATAGTACGTTTTTATTGGTTTTCGATAAAGTTGCTTCAAGATAAACAAAGCAACTAAACTAAGTCTAAGCTACTAAACTACTAACTAAACCTGAGACGTACATTAGGCAGACGAGTTTTCAAATGTCACGTAACTTCTGTTTAGAAAAGGCATTGAGACGCGCGATAAAACGCTTGGATTTATGCGACATCCGGTTTGTGGCTCGTCAAGGAAGATGTTTTTTCGTAGACATCCCGATAGATTGGCAACTGAGAAACAAGTGTAAAACTCGCCTGGCTGTACGTCGCAAATATGCGAGTCATGCTTCTGTGAAACTTTGAGGATAGATTCTGAATATATTGAGCGGCATCATATCTCTCTTCTCCTCTTTATGCGTTCCAAAGGATGTACAAACTTCGACTGAAATTTAAGTTAAAGAGAAAGGCTATTCCGCGTCTATAGAGATGTATAACGCCGTTTGATTTAAATTTCAACACGCGCTAGGTGGATTTTATTTTACGAGAGTGACGTAAAGTTCGGTTTAACATCACGGGTTGCCTTTTATGAACAACCACGAATTCGCGAGGCACGATTTCGAAGAAACTGTTTCATTCTAACAGGAAAGGATCGTCAATACATGCAAACAAACATACTCTCTCCCTTTCTCTTTCTCTCTCTCTTTTTCGCGCATGATTTACGACGAATTCTCGGTTTGGCCTCATTAACGCGCACAGTTGTCAGGTAAAGGATGTCGCGTACAAAATTAACCGACTACGAGAATATAGCGTAAACACCTTGAGTTGATGAAGTGCCTGACACATGTTCTATCAAATAATATAACTCGCTTCTGAACTTATCATCTCCATTCATCATTTGTACATTATGCATTTACCTTCGTGTTTGCATGCTATGTGAAATTAGCGCTTAAACTTTATAATTCGAGAGTTCTTATTAAAGTTTACAGCCTTAGAGGAATATATAGGATTTTTATATTCATAAAAAGAATTCGGGGAATATAGGACTTTTATATTCATAAAAAGAGTTCCGACGATTAATAATATTAAAATAAAAATTAAATAATGGGATGCTAATTTCACACACAACATCACGTCTTTCGATTAAATATTTTTGAGTACCTTATTTGATGTCTTTTGACGAATATTAGAGTTCCTCATAGAAAAAGAATTGTTTGATCAAAAAATTGAAAAAATTTAATAGGAAAAAAATTCAAAAAATTCAAAAAATTGAAAAAAATTGAAAAATTTTAATAGCAAGCCTGAATACTTTTGAATAGCTCATTTGATTCTTTTTGATGAGTTCTAAAAAGTATCTGATTAATAGCGACATTTCGAAGCTAGACACTTAACATTGAATAGTATCTCAATTAATAATCGTATCGTCTCCGACTATTATAATTTCTTTTAGAATTCTATACTATTCACAATTGCTGTCAAAACTAGAACTCTCAAAACAATTTTCGGCTGGGAATTAAATGTTCAGCCTTGATCTTTTTTGGTTCCTAGAAAAAAAATTCCTGCAAATAGGCAGAGTTCCGAACGTATTCGACGCAACTTCATGGTAAGCAGACAAAATCCATAAAAAAAGGGTATAATGTTGGCGATGTTCAAAAGTCTCTAGGATCCATAAATTTATTTCTGAAGGTTAATATAATTGTTGGACGTTAGGAGAATGTATAGAAGTGTAAATTTGTGACAGGTTAACTCTGCATCTCTGTACACTCTCCTAACGTCCAACAATGATATTAATTAGAAATGAATTTATGGATCCTACAGACTTTTGAACGTTGCCAACGTTACCTCCTCTTTTTTATGGATTTTGTTTGCTTACCAACTTCATTATTCGTTACTTCCTCGAAACCCCTATATAGCGTGAATAAAAGTCTGCCCGCGGATCCCGCGGATCCCGCAGACAGTGATAGAAACTTTGACTCCCGAGTAGTACGTATCAGCACGGGAGAGGATACGCACACACTCACGCCACCATGTCCGTGAGGCTCACAGACATGGCCGCGTGAGTGTGTGCGTATCCCTTCCCGTGCTGCTCGGGAGTCAAAGTTTCTATCACTGGCCGTAGGTCCCAGTTCAATTAAATTGCTCGCGCAACAATATGTGTATATCGCTACTTTGTTTATATGACTCGAAAATATCAGCTCTCCATAATATACATACACTGAGAGAAAATAACGATTGATCTAATGAAAATTACAGTTATTTTTACCCCAACCATACATTTTTATAACAAAATAGTAATAGTAGCGTGCGCATATAAGATTATTATTACTAACATTATAGTAGAATTTAATTTAAAAAATGATTTCCCTGTCCATAACTTATAGTATTCATTTCTATATGCGATTATAGTTACAAATACTAAACATTTCTTTCTCGGTGCAACCGGCAGATTGTATCCCGCGAGTGGACGAGTGCACGCGCAACAAAACATTCTTCCTATTGTACCTATCATCCCACATCGTATATCTTAATTATAAATCAGCGCGGAGTAATTACTGTGCAATAATCTAAGAGAAACGCGATCTAAGATAAGCATGACTCGTCATTTCGACTCTGAGCGAGTTTACAATCTCTCACGCATTATTCACTGTAACAGGTTGGAGATATGTTAGTAGGTATACTGGGGAACCCTTTCGCACTGGTCTCGGCGATCTTTGGTGTGTGGTACTGGAGCGACAATGTATGCCTGTGGTACATATCATTGTTCACTTACGTAAAACGAACGAATCGAGCGATGAGCGACGTCGTTTGTCGTGCTAAATTATCTTTATGTCTTATAATAATAAAATGATATCTTATTATCTAATAATAACAAGATGATTATCATATTAGCAACAAAGGAACAAGAATTCACTTGTATTAAATGTAATCGCAGAAATTGGATTTCCTCGCTTTAGGTACGCATGGTTTATGTCTACTATGGGATTCGCAAGTATTGGTAATTTAACAGTGATGGCACTGGAGAGATTCTTACTGGTGACATGCCCGACGAGGACGTTATCTATAAGGTATTAAGGATTTTTATTTTCCTGCAGAGAGACTCACGACTAACATACGAGACACTCAGTTTTAAATATGCCTAACCATCCCTTAGATCGAGAGTTATTAAAAATTTTCTTGTAGGCGCATCCATTTCTAGATAGTCATACATGTCGATTATTCAAAGAAACGGCATCGAAATAGGCCAAGCAGCGTCGAGAGTTTGATGTTTCGTTTGTGTTAGTAAGGAAGCTTGTTTGTTTACGTGTTACGCGCAATCTCAACAGAGGAAAGTGATACAATTCACTAGCCGGCCACTTAGCATTTTTTAATAGTCGACTCACATTAGATTGAATCATATTATTTTTCTGTTGATTAACACAGATAACCTTCCTTGTTGATACAAACGGAACATCAAGAGCTGTCAAAGTAGCACTAGCTGCTTACCTCGCTGCCGCTTCTTCGAATAATTAATACAGTCACGACATATGATTATCTAGAAAGGAAAAGTGCGCGTGAAAGAAAATTTGTGGCGATCGTCGATTTAGAGATTGGCCAGATATATTTGAAATTGAGTGTACATCTGACAGGCAATTATTCAGTTTTTGTGTCTCTTTCTTTTTCTTTTTTACGACGCGTCGCAGCAATTATGCTACAAACGATGAGCACGGCGAAATAATTAATTTGTTCATTCCGCGACTTTCCATCGCGCACTTTCATCGCCACACTCTCCGGGAAGCGAGGTCGCTCGTGTCTATGAAGAGTCGTTAACACCTTCAGAACGTAATTTGCACGTGTTCGCGATGAGAGAATTTGTGTTGCATCAGTCTCTCATTTCTCTCTCTCTCTCTTTCTCGTCGTGTAAACGCGGGTGACAAAAAGTATAAAAATGAAAAGAAAAAAACACATTAGCGTAACTACATTGTAAGTGAAACGACGGTGAGCTGGCGCAATTTTCTCTCCACGAGAAGATTGCAAAATTTGTCTCCGACGAAACGAATTGTATACTTGGCGCGTATTCTGACACGGAAGATACAATATCCGCATGCTATCCAAGGTCTATTATTATTCGTATTTTCGCAATTAACGGATTAAAGATAACCTCTCTTATCAATGGGATCGTTTTATTTGGCGTATGAGAAAGTGGCAGTAACCTGAAGGACCAAAGAGATTTTTACTTTAACAAACTCGTTATTACGCTAATGGGTTAACCATTATGCTAACGAGTTGAGGTACTTGATCCGACACACAACGTTGCTACATCGGATCGTTACGTCAGAAACGAGAATTCACGTGTGACAATTTATTGGTGCGACGTGTCGTCGAAATAAACCAGTTTTTTTCTTTTAATTGCTAAAAAAATTGGGACAACCTCGAGTAATGTAATTTGCCTACCTCGAGTAATGTAATTTGCCTACTAGTCAGATGCACTTTTGATTTTTTTAATTAAACGATCCGTTCCATCATATTTCTTAAAGAATACAAGTTCTTCATGGAGAAAAAAATATATATAATAAGAAAAAATATCGTGTTTCTACGAAGAACTTCAGTTTGTAAACAAAAATGTTAACTATGACAAGAATCAGTCACAGTTAAGAAATTTCATTGAATAATGGAAATACGACTGAAAATATAATCCCTTATATTTTTGCATTATCAAAATTTGTATCAAATCGTATGTATCATTTCGCATTGTACATTCATGTAGTCGCGAGACTGACACTCGAGATGAAATTGCACGGCAAACGATTATGTTACTTTAGTGTCTCCATTTCCGTATCAGAGAGACAGATGATGCACGCGGAATTGCAACAGAGAGAGTTTGGACTTCCGCATTTTTCACTACAAATCTAACGAATAATGACAATTCGACAAAGACAAACGGAGGCATGTTTCTCTTCTAACAGTAAAATGCAATCGTAATGTCGTTTAAACGTAATATTAATTTTGAACCTATATTTTCTTATGCAAACTGTCCTACGTGAAAATCTCCTATCTCTTACAGATACGCTTATATATTGGTGGTTCTAGTTTGGATATACGCGCTCTCCTTGTCGTTGCCGCCGTTTTTCAATTGGGGAAAATACGGCTTGGAAGAAGGTAACATATCCTGCAGCGTGTCCTGGGAGCAGCACGATCTTGAGAATCAAACCTATATCGGATTTTTATTCATTTTCGGATTTATCGTGCCCATGATAATAATTATCAGCAGCTACTGCGGCATCATCCATATCTTAAGGAATACAAGCAAGAGAATCCATTCAAGTGAGTTCTCTTTTTCACGCGTTTCATGGCAAATAGTAAAAATTCTGCCACTTGTGTGAAAAAGAAGGTCACTAACAAATAAACCTAAATTTGGCACAAATGTAGAAGTACAAAAAATATTTAGGTTATATTTTTTCATTTTAACCCACTTTGAGTTTCACGGGCAGTTTATACACGCAAAAAAATGACTTAGTAATATCAGCTAAACCGCGATAGCTGATTCAAACTTAATTAAAAGACTAATCGTTTAGCTGTCACTGCTAAGAATTGGCTATGACAGCTAAAATGCATTCGCTATGAAATACAAATATATTAGGTGACATTAAAAACGCACATGATTTCAAGTAGCTAAGAAAATGGCAGTTATTCCTAAATTTCTTATCGTATGCATATATTAAAGAAGTTTGCCATACAGCTACAATCATTTGTTATAGTCATTTAGTTCTAGCAGCTAATATTTCTCGCTGTAGCGTCTAAGTTTAAACAGCGAATAAATTTAGCTTCGGTATCGACATTAGCTGTCCTAGCATTTCAGTAACACATCTTATCTGCCACAGCTATTTTTTAGCTCTGGAAGTTAGTTTTTTTTTGCGTGTAGCTTTTTAATATTCTCACTCCTATCACCAACAAGTACAACAAAAATGCATAAGAAATAAAAGTGAATACAAGATATAGTTGAATAATTTTAACAAAATCGGTATAGCTGAGACACGAACCATTCTAAATTTTTTTAGCCGAGATTCCAACCGAAATATTTCAAATCTGTGTTAAATTAGTAAAAAATGCTTCGAATCTCGGCCAAACCGAGAAATTATTTGTATAAATAATTTTTTTAACTTTTTACATATTTTGTTTAAACATTTTATTATTTATGCAAATAATTTTACACATTTGACTTCATATTCATAGTCAGCAAACCAAAAACGCCTATATCTTGTATTCAATTTTATTTCTTATGCTTTTATTTTTGTTGCACTTGTTGATGATAGGAGTGAGAATATTAAAAAGCTATAAACTGCCCGTGAAACTCAAAGTGGGCCAAAATGGAAAAATATGATCTAAATATTTGTTGTACTTCTACATTTGTGCAAAATTAGAAAGAAATCGGAGTGTAACTTTTGAGTAGGTTTACTTGTAAGTACGATTAACATTTCGATACGGACTATCTACTAATTTTCAATGCTGATTAATCGCACCGATTGAATACAGATTCCATGAACTTTACTTGCTACAGGTCGGAGAAACAAGAAAGAAGCAAAGGTCACAAAAATGGTGTTGCTAATGATCATCGCTTTCTTGATCGCCTGGATGCCCTACGCTGTGCTCGCGCTCGCAATTCAATATTTCAACGTGAGTCATGGATGGTGAGGAGGATCAATCGTTCCAAACACCGTTGTCGCGCGTTGAATTCGGCCAATTAATACCGCGTGATTAACCGCGGCTGATTGCAGGTACAATCTTCGCATATCATGGTGATACTACCGGCGCTTCTCGCGAAATCCTCCATCTGCTATAATCCCGTGATATATGCGAGCTTGAACATGCAGTTCTTTAACGCCTGGAAAAGGATATTCAGAAACGTAAACTGGAGGAAACCCAATAAGGATAGCATGGCTATGACCACGATGAACAAGACAGAGATGAAGACTCTCAATCAGATATCACCGAGTCGAATGGAAATAAACTAAGAATGAAACTAAAAAAGAGACTAAGAAACTTGAGTCTACTAGAGTCGGTACCGAGAGAGAAGAATGAGTGAGTGATCTTTCGTCCCTTCCATGTATAGAGTATCCGACAATTAATGACATATCCGTTGTATGCAGATAGAACTCGTCAAACTGAACTCAAAATTCGATAATGCGCCAATATTCTTTAACTAATAATCAGTTTAATGAGTTCTACCTACACACAACAAATGTGTCATTAATTGTCAGTCATCCTGCATAATGTCTCCGATTATTATAATTTCCAGTTATTATGAAAGAAGTAATTTTAATTGTTTCTGATCGAGAGTTGGAAGAACCTACCTCAACGTAGAACACGGGACACAGATTCGAGGAGCTTTCAAACACGCGCGATCGAGCTTTCAAGCACGAGTCAGCGCGAGCCCAGCATTGTCGAGTTTACGGTCAAGAGCGACACTCATGTGCAATTAAATCGCGAGAGATACGAAATAGGCTATATCATTTATTTACCACACTATTTCTCGATAAAAAGAAGAAAGAAAAAATGGAAAAAAGTATCTCCCGCCGTCACGATCAGCAGACCAAGGAAAGGAATATGGAAATTGTGTAACGCATCGGAAGTCGTTTGACGGCACTTAGAGCGAAACTTGGAAATTTAGGCTGTAGTATATATAGTTAAGTGAAAGTGCGGCATTTATCAACCATCTCGTATGCGTCTGATATCACGTGGTGGGAGGCACGAGCTGAATAAATGATAGGGGATAAGTTAATCGTCGCGGGCAAATTGTTCGTAGCCGCGGTCACTTTTATTTTCGCGAGAATGATGGAGAGAAGAGGAGAGACGGGGAGGGGGGAGGAAATTTGGCGATATACACGCAAAAAAAACTAGCTTCCAGAGCTAAAAAATAGCTGTGGCAGATAAGATGTGTCACTGAAATGCTAGGACAGCTAATGTCGATACTACCAAACCTAAATTTATTCGCTGTTTAAACTTAGGTGCTACAGCGAGAAATATTAGCTGCTAGAACTAAATGACTGTAACAAATGATTGTAGCTGTGCGGCAAGCTTCTTTAATATATGCATACGATAAGAAATTTAGGAATAACTGCCATTTTCTTAGCTATTTGAAATAATGTGCGTTTTTAATATCATCTAATATATTTGTATTTCATAGCGAATGCATTTTAGCTATCATAGCCAATTCTTAGCAGTGACAGCTAAACGATTAGTCTTTTGAGCAAGTTTGAATCAGCTACCGCGGTTTAGCTGATATCACTAAGTTATTTTTTTGCGTGTATACTGCTCGTGAAAGAACGGTGATACCTGTGAGAGCAGGTCCCACGCCCTCGGCGAATCAACGGTCATCGCGCCGTTCGATATGCCGACACTCTTCCTCCTCGAATGAGTCGCCTAAAGAATTATGCACGCGTTCGCGTAAGAGGCTACCGGACTTTCCGCGTATGAGAAAGTTATGATTGTCTCTCCCTCTCTCTCTCTCTCTCTCTCTCTCTTTCCCTCTCTGCGTCGTCATCGTCTGAATACATAACCGTTCATCGCGTTCACACGCGCATCCGGAAAGGAAGATTTCAATGTCGTAAGAGCTCCGACGTTCGATTAGGTCATGTACGTTGGCGCGATTTGCAAGAAGCAACATTTCGCCGCGATGTCGCTCTTACGTTCTTCTTACGGCCATGAAACACATAGCCGTGTCACCCCGACCGAGGTGATGCGCGGGTGTCTAATGCGTTCCCCGTTGAGTGTGTGGGTGCGCGCGTTGCGTTCGAACGCGCGCGTATGTGCGAAAGATAACTCGACACGTATGCGTGTCTCGAATAGTCATAGTTGAAACACGGCCTGTGATTTCGTTACACGAGCGGCCGCGCCGCGGAATCGAGCATTTACGATTCGTAACACGCGCAATTATGCCACATCGGAGAAAGTGAAATCGCGAGGAAAATTTGCAGTCGGCCGCGGGCGCTGACGCTCGCTCGCATCGCCGCTTCGGTGATTTTCATTAGCATTTTATCCGACCAGGCCGTTCGAGTACGCGGACTCGCGTACTTGGGAGCTTGATTAACCCTCAGGATACCATAGGCGTATTCGAGCGATCAGATGAGCATCGGCCGTACAAAGTATTCAGTTGCGCGCTGCCCCATATACGAAGGATTAAGCAAAAATGGCGTGTAGGATACATTTTGTCGAAATATCTAATTATATTTAGCGATGATTCCAAAGAGCACGTTAAGCGAACGCATGCGAGCCGTATATTTAGGCTCAACCCTTTCGCTATCAACGAAACACACGTTTTCCCCATCATTGATAATAACTTAATTCAATCGAATAAACAGCTCTTTTGGCATCCAGAACACATCGCTTCACTTATTACTGTGTTGAAACAAATATGCCTTCCCAAAATCCTAGTAGGATATTAGTGTCCCGACTCTATCCTCTTAGTGCCAAACATGAAATTTTTAATTTTTTCGTTGAAACTACATTATATATTAATATGTTCAATGAAGCAAAGAAAAAAATTGTGTACCTTTAAAAAAACAAATGCAAAAGGGTTAAAATCGTTAACACCGAAAGATCTGCAATATTTTGATTTTCATTGTCCTCACGGTATTACAATCGGGACAATGAAAATACACGGGGACAATGCGCGATTATTAAGATAGTAGTGGGACTACACTTGTCAGAGAAGCCCACGATTTCGAACAATACCGTCTTCGTTCCCGCGAGCTGCAATGTTGCGATCAATTAGCGCTCCTTCAATAGTGGCGATTACACGACAGACAGCTGAAACTGGAACATGATTATTGTCGGAAGTTAACCGTAATTATTGACGCGTGACGATTACGGCGATATAACGAGATTCGGCCGCTATTTGTTTACTTTCGCGAGACGAAAGGCTCTTGGCTTCGTTACTCCCGCGAGTATCCTCATCGTGAGATGCAGTGTGATACCCTCGAGAGATAATTAAATTTCCACAAAGCCTCTTCCGCTTGAAATTCAACGAGTGTACCCGCTAAAATTACACGCGTATCGCGTCGACAGGCTCCATGATACGTTTTCTCAGCTCCTCCCTTCCGTAGAATATCTCAATCTCTTGCTTAATGCATTTATGTAATTCGAGCAACTATTAAATCAGCGATTTTCTTCGCCTCCAGCCTTGGCGAATTTAATTGCATACCACGGCTTATTTATATTAGATGCTTCCAATTTAGCATAACGAGTTGAGATTTTGGTAAATCAGCGACCAGCCCACTCACTTCTGGATTATGGTAAATTCGAAAGTTAAGACACGACATTGAAATATAAATTAGAATTAATAGCCGCGATTTATTGGCAACGCGAGATATTGTATGAGCATATTTGACAGTGCATTTTATTAAGTATTAAATTATAGATTCAACGGCTCTCTCTCTCTCTCTTTCTCTCTTTCTCTTTCTGAGACTCTACTCGTTACGATATAACTGTCGAGTTCGATCACACTCACAATCATTGGTAATAACGACCGGCTCAGCATGCTCGATTACTGATGCTTTTATGTCACTGTCACGTTTTTATGTTGCTATTTGATATGCGTAATATACTATTGTCGTGGATCGAAAGCGACTCGATATAGCGCGCACAAGGTGAAGGTACGAAATACACAGCACGCGCTTCCTGAAATTTAATTCTGAATTAAAAACTCAGATCATCTAAATGATAAATGATACACTGACAAAATTGAGTTAACGAGACTTTGGATAAAATTCGTTCAAGCAAGCGTTTAGTCGATTTGCTATGATATGTGTGTTATCGATTGGTTCAACGATTGCGATTTAGCTAATAACTATATCAACGTAACTTATTGTTGCATTAACGTGCAATTTGCCCAACAGATACAATATTTCTTTGAAGGTGCACGACCGTCGATTTTATCGATCCAACTGCTTCTTTTCTTAGTAAATGGAAAAGCACAAACATCAACACGATAGGTAGACACAGTCGCATATAACATATTACGAATTGAAAAGTTTCAGAACGTAACATAATGTTACGAAACTAATTAAGACATAGAATATATATTAATGCGTGAAAGTCACGAAGCTGGTCCGTCGACGTCCTAATTTAACACGTCATCGGCGTCGTTAAATCGCACGCTAAACTATAAGAGACTAAACTGCAACTATTGGTCTGTTCCTTTTAGCTGCGCTGCTGAACTGGTGCAATAAAAGTTAAAATGAGACAAGTATATTTCTTCGCACTCCAACTTCACCAATTCAGCAGCGCAGCTGGAAAAGAACAGGCTATATATCTCTACCTAAACCATAACAAAGTATAATTATATCTGAATTCCAACTATATCTGAACTAATTTGGTCCACTCGAGATTTTACGTAATTTGTTTTCGCCGATATTTGCGTTCGTTCAGCGTCGCGTTGCAGAATCGAGCGTGTGCGCGAGACCGGTATTACAGAATCGACGTTATGGGGAGCGCCGAACGGAATGCAAATGAGCCCGCGGTCGCGATCGTTAAAGCGCTACGAAAAGAATCAGCGATGTTAGATTGTCGCATTGACCGAGGCGATCTCGTTGGATATGCAGCGGATTCACACCGCGATAATATAAAAGGAGCCGCGCGAATAAATTGCCGACAACGTGTTCACGGCTCTTCTTTTTCAGAATATCAGTTAGTAGTCCCGTGAGTATATAAGTTAGTAGTGCATTACGTTCGCACAAGATTTTGTCTCGTTGAGTTAAACGTGTGCTTTTACACCGCCCGTTATTATGAGAACTCTTCGATTGCCAGCAATCGAGTGCTAATTACACCTCGGCTAATTGCTCCTGCAAAATTGCGACTATGTAACGACGTATTAACGTACTGGATGCCGCGATCGATTTCAAGGTCCGACATGCACGGAAACAGCCCAATATCGATATCGCTCCTCGCCAATTACGCCCTACGACGACCCGCCGACGTCGAATTAACGATCGTTAATACGGCCTCCAGACTTAAAGGAACAACCATTCACTCTAATGCTTCGATCGGAGCATTCGCTCATATGGAGTCAGAATCCGCTCTAAGCTCAAGTGAAAGCTTGAGAATGCACTCTTGTGATTTCGAGTGGCAGTATTTTCACTGCGGCTTCGAGTGAAAATACCGTCGCTTTTCACTCGTTTCGAGCAAGATTCCACTCCAAGGAAACTGAAGGAGTATGAAAACGCAATCGTAACTGGACAACTGCGCTTGCACAACGAGGTGGCACAACTCGTTCCTCTTTAAAATTCCCCGTCGTTGTTTCACGCGAATAGCACGTCTAACCACCTCGTCGAGGAAACTGCACGCGCGGTGCAATCGGGCGGCTCGCTCTTACGCGTACTGCGGTCTCGCCGGTGGCGTATACAAAATCACGGAAGGCGTTAATTTCTGATCGACAACAGCCTCGGCATGTACTTACCGTATGCAGACTCCCGATCGGGGACGCGCGTAATAAAACGTACGTGGAGGAATTCAAGACGTCAGTCGCCTGGAGGGACGAAGCTTTCTACGGCGAGCGCCAAAAAGCCGAAACGACTCTCAAGAAACGAGAGAAACGATTTGGGAGACCCAGATACGAGTATAGCTGCACTTGGTCGAGGGGAATAAGGAATAAACTCGTTTTTGGAGACGGCAAAATATGAACGTGTGAGAAAGGCATCGTGACGAAAGACGCGCCGTTGTCTGTAAATTTGCAAGCGAAATTCGCGAGCGGCGCGAACAATTCTGTCGACGCGAATAGAACGACTCAGCTGTATGCCTTGTCTCGTTGCGCACACGAGCAATCGGCTTGCTGAAAATTCTCGCATCGATGCGATCGATCAATTTGCCGAGAATTCGATCGACACAAGGGAAAGTTCTTCGCGTTACCTAATCGCGCGACAACGCGTTTTTCACGGTGAGAGGGATGGACAAAAATCACCTGGTGGCTTACCGCGTAATCGGTAATGGTGACGTTTTGAGCGCAGATCCGGAAGGAGAGTGTTCCCTTCGCCATAAATCCGTATCCGCTCTCCTCGCGCTCCTCGCGCGTCTCCTCGGAGAACAGTGAAGCTTCACCGGCCGAGGAAATTACGCGAGCACGATCGCGCTCGTAAAGGAGAGCTCGGGTAAATATTTTTTTACGGTATCCCAGGCCCTCTTCCGTGGCCCCGAAGAGGCGGATATTTTAGAAAGTTGTCTCGATAAAAGGCGCTCCATATTTTGCGCGGCACGGTTAAGATCGGCCGGTCGCAATGCGCGCGATGAAAAACGCATCCGAAAGACCCGGCCCGTATGATTTTCTGCGGTGGTTTTTCACGCCAGTCAATCTCGGAACGATTTCACGTTTCGGCACTGTTTTTCGTGGGACAGCTTTCTTCTAGCGTAAAATTACAAGCAACGAAATGCCAATCGAAATTGGAATTAATTATTAAGGAAATGATTTCTACATCAATGTTGATCGATTAAAACTTTACCTCACTAAAATAACATAATAATCAACAACAAATTAATCAATTGATTAATTCAATTGATTAATCAATCGATCAACTCATGTTTTTACATGTGACGATTAATTTTTACTATTAATTTATCAATTGATGAGAATTTTCTTCGACTAACATAATCGGCAAATCGATCATCAAAATCAATTAATGGTCGTGTACACGCAAAAAAAGAACTAGCTTTCAGAGCTAAAAAATAGCTGTGACAGATAAGATGTGTCACTGAAATAGGGACAACTAATGTCGATACTACCGAAGCTAAATTTATTCGCTGTTTAAACTTAAGTGCTACAGCGAGAAATATTAGCTGCTAGAAACAAATGACTGTAGCAAATGATTATAGTGTACAGCGAGAAATATTAGCCGCTAGAAACATGACTGCAGCAAATGACTGTGCGGCAAACTTCTTTAATATATGCATACGATAAGAAATTTAGGAATAACTGCCATTTTCTTAGCTATTTGAAATAATGTGCGTTTTTAATGTCACCTAATATATTTGTATTTCATAGCGAATGCATTTTAGTTGTCATAGCCCATTCTTAGCAGTGACAGCTAAACGATTAGTCTTTTAATTAAGTTTGAATCAGCTATCGCGGTTTAGCTGATATTACTAAGTCATTTTTTTGCGTGTATGTAACCGCGAGTAATTTAATCGATTAACGAAATTGATTATTCATCGATGTATAATCGATCATAACAGAGCTTGATTAATTTGTGATTGTATCACAGTCGACTGACGCAATTAATTATCAATCTAGCTTTGATGTGATTGATTACACATTCTTGAATAATTTCATTAATCGATAAAATTATTCACGTTTACACGTATAACGATTGATTGATTTTGATGATCGATTTGCCGATTATTTTAGTCAAAAAAAATTGTCATCAACTAACGCCCAGCACCGTTTTAAATAAATTTGAATGAATAATTATAAAAAACCCACGTTGCGGTAAGAAGTAAATCGAAGGCGAATGCACATTTATTTAAATGCGACTTGACTAATGACTGTTGAAACGCAGATTTTAACGACGTGCGTCATTATGGAATAGGCTGCAGGACACCGAGCAAAATCGGCATTTCTTTCGAGATCCTGCCCGGACCGAATGAAAAGCGTAATTCTCCATCTCGGTAAAAAAAATTCGCACAGGGCATAACGGTACACTATAATCGAACCAGTGAAATCTGTCCTGATTCTTCGAGCGCTCATTTCGCTTCCGCTCACGAGACGCTCGTTGTAACTCACCTCAATATCATAATCTGTCCTCACAGAGAACGACGAGTGATCGATGAAGAAAGGAAGGAGCAAGTGCGCGTGTATATACGCGAACGTTTTGACATTTTGAGGCATCAAATTATATAATTCTACAATATTTCAAGTACGAGTGGAGGCAATAAAGGCACATCGTAGACACACCGAAGCCGGCAAAACAGTTGCGACGTCACTCTCACAACCGTCCAAAGCGCAGTTACATAGAATCGACGAAATGACGAAGTAATGTGGTATTATTTCACTGCGCCTCTCGTGATACAGCCTCGATGATAAATTACATTTAACCTGAGCACGCGCTCGCGCTTGAAAACAATACACAGATAGTGCCATTAACCGCGTCCTGTCATTAAACCTCGACCTCGCTCGACGCATATACGAATGAAAACGATCAAGCAACGAACTCATCAGAAGGACGCGTTCGAGGCGACTGTAAATCACCTGGTTAGACGTAGCGTGCACCATAAACGCGAGCAAATGACGAGAGGGTAGAACCCCCGCGAGAATAGTATCGTTCTGGTAGGAGAGACTGGGAGTTAGTTGGCTAAGCCCGGGATAAGCTGGCAAAACCGGTTGTTTCCAATATTTTCTAACAAGTTACAAAATTAAGTAAGATTTCTAAATATGTCAAAAATGGCTTTGAAATTTATGCTTGCTTGATTCTATTAAAGAATAGTATACTGAGAGAAAGATATCTAAAAATTAAAAAATATTTATTAGGTAGATACTATTAACATATTTCCTAAAATGAAAATTCTTTTCATTTAAAGTATTGCTTACTAAGTATTGTTTACTTTAAGTAAACAATATTCGGCATAAATGAAGAGAATTTTGCCTAACATACCTAATAATCATTTGTTAATCTAATAAATATTTGTTAATATTTATTAATATTTTTCAATATTTTTTTCTCAGTGTAGGAATAATCGATTTTGCCAACTTATCCCGGTGACAAAATAGCCCCGGTTTCTCCTAATCGCAGAGTTGATTGTAATCTCCAAAAAAAAAAACGGGAAAAAAGCCAATCCTCTTCCTTCGTAGATCGAACTACAGACGCGGAATTAAGGGTCTAAGGGTGAGGTTGAAGAAACACGGATCTTCTCTTACCGATTAGCGATAGCAATGATCAGAACCCGTCGTTCTCAAGGTATGATTATGCATTCCCTCCGCGGAGTCCGCGGAATGCTCGTCAGAGCAACGAAATCTACCGCAGAGTGCAGCTGCGGGGTTCCCAAGTTGGCAAACACCAAGCATCTTCGAACGCGCGACCGACGATGAGCGTCTTTGGTGGGAGGCAAAACTCTCTCTCCGGAGCTCAGCTGATCATTAAAGCTGCTGCTGGCCAGTCAAACTTTCACGCTCGGCGATACGCGAGCTTCGCGACCGAGCAGCTCGCCGCGACCGATTTCAAGGTCCGACACGCGCGGAAACGATATCGATATCGCTCCTCGCCGGTTGTAGCCTACGACGACCCGCCGACGTCGAATTAACACAGCAAGCTCGTGGAGGAGTCGGGCGGACATCGCGGATAACGGGCGAGTCCTGTGACTCAATGTCAACTCGCTCGCGGATCAGAGGGATTCCCGGTGAAATACGCGAAAACCAGGGATTTACTTCTCGGCGTACTCCCACGAGAGTTTCTGTGTCGCTACGGTTGGCTTGCAGCGGCCGTGCAATTATTGGGACCGATAATTCGATTAGTCGACTCGGAAAGATCGCCTGAGGAATCCGCCGGAGAAATTACTCGCGTGACGTTCGCGAGTGGCAAGTTTCGCGAGCGACTACTCCAGCGGAGGCTCGACCGGCGCGGATGGTCACGGACGGGAAGATTCCAACGTGGAAAGAAAGTCAAGCGGAGCGAGGAGTGCCAGGTGACGTACGGAGCCTCCGTTTGCGAAGATCAAACGGAGGATTAATGAGGATACGACAGATTGATGGCGCGCACCTTCCAATTCCAGACTCAGATCCGGACGACTGTTCCGCGCGCGTCACGTAGCGCGAGCGTTTCGCACGGTCGGAAATGATAGACGTCTCGAGCATCAGCACGTGGACGTGTCTGCCGACGGCACGGGAGACCTGACCCAGGAAGCAGCGTCGACGATCCTCTCTCGACGATCTCGAGGTCGAATTATCGCGACGGGCGACCGTGCGTACGTGAAGTCAGTGTTATTAGTGAAAGTCGCCGGCGCGTACGTGCGACTCGGTTAAGAGATCAGACTGGCGCGCGAAATTGCCGCGGAGAATCGCGGACTGGCAAAGAAGGTCAGGCGGAAAGGCAAGATCAAGAGATCCTCACCTGGCCGCGGGAGAAAGGGAAAAAAGCCCGAGCAAAAATGACGACCGGCCCCGGCGTTCGAATTTCGACACGAGACGTCGCGGCGGATCCTTGAGGGAGGCAGGTGCTTTAAACGACGTCTAGTCCTGGGAGTATTGTTTCTTCCCTCCTCCGACGAATGCTGCGGATGTCTTAGCGCGAATTATTCGACGGAAGAGAGAAGAACCGACAAATGCGACCGCGCTGAGTGAGAATGGCCGAGAATCATTAGGAGCGAGAGGATTCCACGAACGCGCTTGGGTCGTTTTGCGACACTTCGCTCTGACGTCGATGGTACGCGGTGTATTCAAGAAGGATCGACAAAGAAATTGTCCCGCTGGATATTTCGTTGTTCCCGCGGAAGTAAACGTACCTCGAGCTCGTCGCGTGTCATGGCTCTGTCTAGTTTCTGACCTTGGAACACGATGCAGTAAGCATAATTTATCATAAATTCGTGGAAAATCGTTGTGCTCCATTGTTGACTTAAGAATAGTAGCTTCCACGCGTATTTGGCAGCAGTTAACGACTGTTGGATAAAACTGTTAAGTCAAGTTTAGTATTGAAAAGATGTTCACTTGGAAGAGGCATATAAGGCCTCATGCTTTAGCTCTAAGCTCTACGTAGCTTCTCTATCGCTTTGAGGCACTAAGCGCTACAAGAAACATCGGCAGAACTAGTCTGACTGCTCATACAAATTCGTGTAACTCGTGATGAAAACTCGTCCGCGTAAGAAAGCATCGGGGAAGAGGGTGCATTCAATAAGCAAGGCCGCCCGTATCATTTTACAACGCGATCGTTCATTTGTATCTTCCCACAGCTCAAAGAGAAACTAGACGGAATTATTCACGGCCAGTTCTTCACTCGCAGATCAACAGATCCGACTAGAAGATCTGTTTACGTGGCACGATCGTCGCGATTCAAGAGTCGCTGCGAAATATTCCACAAATTCGGCAAATCAACACGACCGAACGCACAAAGAGCAAGGAGAGACTCTTTTCAAGAGTTGCTTTTCTCACCGGAGACAAATGAGGATTGAAAACGAACGTGGAACACGAGGTGTGAACATCGATCTTCCTCGGCGTGACTGGTCTCGGATATTGAAATATCGGCCGCGAGGCGTCTTCTTTTCGGACGGCCATTAGAATGACAATGTGTCTAGCTCGTTTCTCTAAAGCGACCGCGTGACCAGGAGGCGGCGAGCTCGCAAATCCGGTAGTCCTACGTCTCAATTATATCCGTTTTGCGAGACGTAATTTCCGAAACGCGGAGACCACGCGGAGGGATGCGAAGGAGACTAGTTCGCAGTCGCAGATTCGAGCCCGGCCAGCAAGGTGCGACAAGCTCTCGCAGGACGGCTTGACCTTTCCGCGGTTCTTTCCTCCACCGATAGCTGGATCCAGCGAACTGGAGCGTGAGGGGCAGAGTCCCTCGTCGTCATCCTGGTTATCCAACCGGAAACGGGCCCGAAGCGAGTTTCCCGTGTTTTCCTGCGTTTCTCGCTTCGTCGATGCACAAAGAGCTTTCGTGACGAGAACGGGGCAATCGGGCGCGACGAGGATTGTCCGTGGTGAGGAAATGACACCAGACCGTCGGACGACTGTCCTCCTTCATTGAGAGATATTTATCGCTGGGTGTATCTGGCGGCCGTGAGTAAAAGGATCGCGACAGAGAAGAGGAACGCGCTGAACTTTTCGTCGATTGAGAACGACCGTCAAGCGATATCATCGCGAGAATGACGCGCCTCGTCGTCGCGCATCAATTCACCCTGCTCTTGGGTATCTCCCTGATGATGATGCTCGAAGCCGCGCCAGGATACAACGTCCTGTTGGCCACCATGGGTGGCACCAAGTCCCACACGGTGCCCTTCGTGGCCCTCGGTACGAGCCTGAGGTCGCGGGGTCACAACGTCACGTTGCTGAGCGCTTTCTCCGGTCCAGCGGCGAATAATGGTCTTCACGAACTGGTGCCGTCCGTTCTCGAGGTAATTTACGAACTACCACGCGCGCACGTACCTCATCATGCCCTCGCCCGGTAAAACCGCGGTCCCCGAAACCTCGTTCCAGACGTTCTTGTCTCTACCATCGAATCAGGCTGCCATTGCTCTAAAGAAGAGTTCACACCTTGGCAGAAGAGCAGAAAACAGAAAGGCAGAAGCTAATCACAACTCGCACTGGTGGTTAGTCGACAATTCCTGCTTTTCTACCAGTGTGAGTTCCGACTGGCTTCTGCTTTCCTGCTTTCTCTTTTTCTAACAAGGTATGAATTCTCCCTCAAGCGGATGATACACAGAAAAAATTGAGCGGTTGAGAAAATTGATCAATTGAACATCGATTTTTTTTTGGATCGTAAGAAGAACCATCGACCGTGGTTGATCAATTTGCTCACCGCTTAAGTTTTTCTGCGTGCCATCCGCTTCATCTCGTTTAATTTCATAATACGCATCGCAATTTATCATACACGCTGTCAGTGCGTGCGTTGAAGTTTACTTCAGTACTTCCTTTTTCAGATCTCCATTTCGAAGCTTCTTGTATATAAATTTTCATTAACTTTCTAGCGATTCTTCCGCGCCTTTGATCGTAAAATTTGCTAAAGCAATTCTTTGCAAATTTATTTCTTGACGGGTAATGAATTTGTCCTAAAACTTCTATGGTCTTGTTATGGAAAAACATATAAGCGTCGCTAAATATGTATCTTGATTGAAAAAATTATTTGCAGTAACGGTTCGCGATATCTCGCGAAATCATATCTCTCTTTTCTTCAAAAATTAAATATTCTAACTGTGAAATATCTTAACCGTGATATAATGCCATATGTTAATTAAATTCCTATAAATGTATGACTGTAAGGATATGATTATAAGGATAAACGAATTCGCACACGAAAAGCGAATTGCTAATGTGTAACGTAGACATGTGTAACAAGCTACGCAAATAAGGATAAATCTCTATGATTCTGCAAAGTCTGGAGTCATATTATCGAAGGTACAAAGAACACAAAAACAAATTTGTCTCTGAGAAACAGAATTTTACGAACTCTTTCGGCACAAACTCTTTTTAATTGAAAAATTTAAAACCAAGCAAGTATTCATCAATTCTCCAAGCAATCAAATACGAATACCACCTTAAGACTCATAAGCTCGATAAAATTTTCTGTTGATTTTTCCGCGAAAAGATCGTCGAAAACGGATGAGAAGCTTTGCGAATTTTGCAATCGCCGCGACGTAGGAGGCTCAGGATTTAAACTAACGGTAGTGCAGCTACGAGACGCTGACCTATCGGTGCATTTACTCAAACCGCATATGTCACGGCAGGCTTACGTGGAAAATTTCACTTCCGAGTGGGATCTGGTAGGGGCCCGATTCAGGAACGAGTTTCCGGTTTTACCGTGGGATGTCATAAGATACGCTTGGAAGTCGTGCGACTCGCTGCTGCAGGACGCGACGTCGATAGCCGGCCTGAGAAAACCGGACGGCGATCCGCATCGTCGATGGGACGTCGCAGTGCTTGACGGTGCTTATCCCGAGTGCCTGTTGGCGATTCTCCACGGCGAGAATGTACCGACGATAATGCTGAACACGGTAATCAGCCGTTTACCACCGCGATGATCGATTCGCGCTGCTGCAACCCGCGTAATACGGTTGACTCACGAGTTGAACATCGTTCATCCCGTTTTCATGATATTTTCACTTGTTTATTAATTTATGGAAAATTTTAATATAATCTATTCGTATATGATATGTCGTTAATTATGTACGATGATTAATGAATCCACACTAAGAGAGAAAACATATAAAAAATTAAAAAAATATTTATTCGGTAGACCAATAACATTTATTTGAATCTAAATTATTTATTTAAATTATTTCTTTATTTATTTAAATTACTTAAGTAACTAAATAAATAAATAAATTTTTATTTATTTATTTAAATTATTTTATTTAAATAAAATAAACAATTGCTTTTATAAGAAAAGCCAAGATTTTTAAAAAATGTATATATATTTTGTAAAATATTTGAAAAATATTTCTTCTCGGTATAAAAATATATATTTGTAAAATATTTGAAAAATATTTCTTCTCGGTATAAAAATATATATTATTATAAATAAAGATATGTTATTAGTATTCATCGAATAAATATTTTTTATTTCTTAGATTTTTTTCCACAGTGTAATTACTCTGAATTTTTTTAATCGAGGTAAAGATCGATTTTTTCGATTCTCTCAGCACGTTTGTCATTCTGGACTAAAATTGCATACTATCAGTGATAACAATACGACGTTATTCGGCAGGTCGCATTGTATAGCGGATCTATCGTGCAACAGGGTAACCCATCGCCGTGGTCAGTGACACCATTCTTTGGCGGCCCGACTACGCAAGATATGACTTTCTTCCAAAGAGTCCTAAACGCGGCGGCCCTAGTTTGCATGAATTTGATGCATTGGTTCACGCTTACGGTTTTCCTACGACCAACTCTACAGAGATATCTCGGTGAGCGTCAAGTCAACTTCGCTCTTCGCGATTTTTAACGATGAAGTTTGACGATTTTTAACGACGAAGATTTGCATCCTCACTACTGAACTTTACCATTCACATCTCAAGGAAAACTTCGCGATCTCGGAAGATCTGCGAATGTTATTCGTTGGCCAGATACTCGTAATTTAATGACCATGATACTATCTCGCTTACAGGTAACCAAATACCCGAGCTGTACAGTCTGACGAAAGAAGTCCCCTTGACATTGCAGAACAGTCATTACAGCGTAGGAGATTCTGTTCCTTACATGTCGAACGTCGTGAATGTGGCGTGTCTACATTGCAGACCGGCGATGCAATTAAATTCCGATCTGGACTCTTTTCTACAACGCGGTAATTTGGCACACAAATTTCCCTGCCTCTCTCATTTTTTCTCTTTATTTTACTTGTGATTTACCTAACAACCGCCTAGAACTTGAGACTTTTTATACTTTGAAGCGAAAGTATCCGAGATCTAGACAAGGAAACATTAGACTTTCACGTCATCGTAACATAAGATTTAATTTCTTAAACCGAAGGTTCAGTTTCAATGTTGTGCTTAAGAAACAAAAAAAAATGGGAAACAATAAATTAAAATTTATATTAAGTCAATTTCATGCTGTTGACGCATTATTGTTATATACTGAGAGAAAAATTACATTAAAATCAACAAATATTTCCTTGATGGGTGCTATTAACATATTTACTTAAATCTACATTCTTTTTATTTAAACCAAATATAGTTTACTTAAATCAGGTAAACAATATTTGATTTAAATAAAGAGAATGTAGATTTAAGTAAATATGTTAATGGCACACGGGAAAAAAGATTTGGTTAAATTAACCAAATATCTGGCCGAATATGAACGATCCAGAAATTCCGATTGAAGTGAAATTCCGAATTCTGTTTAAGTTAACAAGATTTTTGATAGACTAACCAAACATGTTTGGTTATTTAACCAGGTTAAATAACCAGAAAATCCAAAAATTTTGTTAACTTAAACAGAATTCGGGTTACTTCAATCGGAATTTCGTTCATATTCGATCAGATAATTCAACCAAATCTTTTTTTTCCGTACACCCATCAAGGATATATTTGTTGATTTTAATATAATTTTTCTCTCAGTGTTGACTGAAGTTACCCTTGCAGTTAATTTGGTTCATATTCAACTTTGCAATACGAATGCATGAAAAACGTACTAGATATCATTGTTAATATAATCGAGCGAATTGCGAGTCAGGATAGTGTGACTTCAAGACACATGACTCCGATTGCTTCGCAACGACCGTTTCCGTTAGTTCTTCTCTCCTGGAGACTCGCGCGCGGTTAGCAAACATGGAATAAGAAACTCGGGTTGAAGACACGTGTAATGGGAACGTTAAATAAACTTTCAGGCTTCGTGTTCGTCTCGATGGGATCGTCGGTGCGAGCTTCCGGAATGCCCGAGGCGCTACGGCAGATCTTCGTGGCGGTCTTCTCCACGCTACCGTACAACGTCGTCTGGAAATGGGAAGGTGGCAAGATCAAGGATCTGCCTGCGAACGTGAGGACGGGCGCGTGGTGGCCGCAGCAGGAGCTACTTGGTCACCCGAAGCTACGCGCGTTCGTATCCCATGGAGGACTGTTATCCCTGCACGAAGCGGCTTATCACGGTGTGCCCACTCTGGTTTTACCTGTCTTTTGCGATCACGATGGCAACGCGGCGCAAGCTGGTAATTATTCTTTCTTTTGCCCCGTGAACCGTACACTGTAGCCTTCAACGGTACAACGGCAACGATTGGAATAAACGTCCGCGGAGAAGCGCTTTGCTTCCGAGGAACGATAGAAACGGAACGACAAGCGTGAGCGCAAAGATGGAATCGCGTGCTCAAAATGATGGGAAAATACAAGATGTTGAAAATATTGCCTACACAAATGTTTTTTTTTTCTTTGCATAGAAACGAAAAAGATAGTTTAAATATTACAACAAACGTGTATATGATCAGACGCACACTGAAAAAAAGATTTTGTTGTCGAAACGAAAATTTACTACATCAGACTATAATTTGGTTAAAACAGAATTTAGTTGCAATTACTAAACGTTTGCTAATCAAATCGCATGTACCAAATATTTTAGTTCCAAATAGAAAAAAGATTTTTTCAGTGCAGCCTTCAATATAATAGCCTACAATATTTTTCACTTCACTTTAAAATTCGCAAATACTCGTGCGCAAATTAACAGAGTATATTAACAGAATATGAAAAATTTAGCGAAATATGAATCCCTATACGCGGAAATAACAGTACAGTTTCAATACTGAATTTGGTTGGCACAACCAGATCTATGCGTGAGTCAACTGTACTTTATGCCGTGTAGACATTGTTGACGATGACATTCGTTAAGCCTTCGCGATTTTATCTGATACAGAAAAATTGGGCTACACTCTGGTCAAGGATTTGGCTGGTATATCAATCAGTACCCTTCGCGAAGGTATACTCAAAGTCGCCACGCTTCATAATAACTCGTATAGAGAGGTAGCTAAGAAGAGAAGTGCATTACTGCGCGACCTTCCGATCGGACCTAGAGAATTGGCCACGTGGTGGGTGGAACACGTGGCCAAGCATGGTGGAGCTGATCATTTGAAAAGCTCGACCAGGTAATGTCTGTTTATATTACTATTATTACTTGTACACGATTACGCGACCGCAAAAGAAAGCGAGTTGATTGCGCACAACGTTTCAGGTACATGGGAGTGATGCATTATTATAGCCTGGACGTCGCGTTATTTTATATGTTCAGCTTAATTCTGATAATTTACGGACTCAAGAAATGGTGCTGGCGAGCAGTGATCAGCCAGGACTTCTTCAAGAAGAAAGTAGACTGACCGATCATATATACTTCCCGAAGACACATCCGTCAAATTTTTATTATTTATTACTACGTGTAGGGTATAACCTCTTAATATAATAAGCATACTGGGTTAAAAAGGGTTTTATAAATATTCTCTCGGAAGAGAGAAACATTGAGAGAGAATCTCGTTTTGCGAATTAATTAAGGTTGTTGAAGATCTCTAATATATTTTTATGATGTAACTATAGGTCATTTGTAATTTATAATTCGACATAATAAACGTTTTAATTTCCACATCCTTGTATATATGAATAATAATCTAGAGAGATTTATATATTCAGATTATGAAGTGTGAACTGTCCCCCTTTTTGCCAAAGCATACATTTATCGCTGATATAACAGAAAATCTTATACCGCGAATAAGCGCTGCGATCATTATTTTCTGCATTATCTATTCGTGAGTACAACTCGGCAATGCAGAAATTTTTTTAGGGTAATTGTGTATTCGTTGTATACCCTACTTTATAGACACTCACAGTCTTCTACGCGTTGTGAGTTGAAAACAACGGTTTGAATTTCTAATTCCGTTTGCATTTTTAGTTCCGCTCAGCATTTCCGTTAAGAATTGCGAATTAGTAAAGGAGATTCACTAAGAGGCAAGACCAAATGATTTTCTCATGGAAAGTGCAGGAAGAAAAAATGTTCGAGTAGAAATGCCTTGTCATTAATAGGGTTGCGCAATTTAATTATGATACTCTGTGTAGACAACGTAAACTATGTGAAGTGTCATGCATGTAGACAATGAGTAATCTATAAATGTTTAAAAAACGCATAACTTGCTAAAAAAATTAATTAAGAAAGACAAATTTATTCAATTTTTCAAATCCTGATATAAATTTATGAACGTTGGTTTTTAAATAAGTTAGAGTTCACAAGATTGTCTGGTTACATTTTCACGTCATATATATAACGAAATAAAAATTTCAAGCAATTACCTATTTTAAGCATTACATTTACAATTAATATTCAAAATAGACACGGCAATTGTCTCAAAATTTAATTATCCTTCTTTGTATATTCTGATATAATTTACGACATTCCACGAAGATAGTTTATATCGTCTACATGAAAAAAAACTGTGTACGTCATACAGACGTGATCTTGACATTTACGGCACAACCCTGTCGACATCTAGACGAGATACACTCATCGTTGGTATAAGAGAAAATCGTGCCTCATGAAGATATCTCATCACAGGTAGATGTCGAGAATATGATTTTCTACATTACCGAGTGGTGAGACGACCTGATAAGGCACAAATTCTCATGATAACTATAAATCCTATATTACCGACACTCACCGTCTTCTTGGTGTGGGTTGAAAACGGCGGTTTGAATTCTACCGCTATACTGAGATGCGTATATATTATGCTCTACTCGGCGTCTCGGATGACCCATCCGTATAACGGCCGCATCTATCCGACGATGTTTCGTTCTAGGAAACACAACATTCAGTATACGACGATACTACAAACGTCGGATCGAAAACGGCGGTCCGTACGCCATTCTTACCTCGACCAGTGCTCGGCAGCCTCAACAGTCAGTTTCGCAAAATATCACCCCCGGCGGCTATCTCGTCGCAACGAATGCGCGGCACTCACTCCCGGCGTTCCTGGGAACGATAATTCACACGCAGGACTCACTTTCGGCGTGTTTAAACCGCAAGAAATACGGAGCAGCCTCCTCCTTGCACGAGAGACGACGTGTTGCGACTCGTTCCGCCCAGCGAATTGAACATTGCTGCGATTGAGTTTCTTCAAGTATCAACGCTTGACTGCGTTCACAGTAGTGGCTGGCTCCACACGCCGCGAATACGGCTCGCGGCCGCTTCGTGTTCGTCGCGTCTTTTAACCCGTCGGAAGTGAATATCGTAAACAGGCGAGTGTCGGCAGCGCTGAATCTAAGGACAGGCGAGCGTTTGGAGTATTCGTCGGCTCGGCGGTGCGCGATTGAACGCGGTGATCATCGGTGCTTGCTACCGGTGCGTGTCGCGACCGGTCGGGAATGGCGCCACACGGCAAAGTGAAGTGAGTACGTGATATTCGCAAGATCTCTCGATAATTCGCTGAGAATGAATCCCGCGCGCGGACGAGCATCTCCCGGTATTCACACTGTAATTCTTTTAATTAAAACTTGGACACACCGGGTGATACGCCGTACATAATCGGGAAAAAGCAGGCGGGAGTGAGAGAGAGAAGGTGTTTCGTCGTCTCATTCCTGCAGTTTCTCTCTCACTCCTGCTTGCTTCTCCTTATTACATATAGTGAGTCGAAGAGCCAATCAGAGATTATCCACCAGTGTTCAAATTCAAACCAAACAAATCTATTGGCCGTCGATCTATCGTATGTTGCGAATAGTTCTACAAGGAAAAGTGTACGTGACGTTACAGCATCTCTTGCAGTCCGTCGATAATGGATTTCGCGCGCGGACGAACGTCGGGAATGTCGAATCTAACGACGGGTGATCGTTTTGGCGTATCCATCAGCTCGGGGAAGCACGATTGAACACGGTGATCTACGCTGCTCTTCTACCGGTGCGTGTCGCGATCTGTCGGGAATAGCGCCATAAGTGTAAAGTGAAGTGTGAGTACGTGACGTTCGCAGCATCTCTTGATAATCCGCCAAGAGTGAATTCCGCGCGCGAACGAGCATTTCCCGGTGCTTACATTACAATTCTTCTAGTCAGAGCTTTGATACCGGGTAATCCGTCGTGCGTAATCGGAAAGAAACGCACGGGAGTGAGAGAAAAGATGCTTCATGATCTCATTCGTGTAGTTTCTCTCTCACTCCCGCTCGCTTCTCCCTTATTACATATAGCGGCTCGAAGAGCCAATCAGAAATCATCTATCTGTGTTCAAATTCAAACTAGAAGAATTCTATTAGCTATCCGTGCATTTCGCGAGTGCTACAAGGAAAATAAGGTACGCGTACGTGACGTTATAACATCTCTTGATAATCCGCCGACGATAAATTTCGCGCGCGAGGACGAGCGTCGGGAGCGTCGAATCTAATGACGATCGTTTTGGCGTATTTGTCGGCTCGGGGGAGCACGATTGAACGCGGTGACCTTCGGTGCTCTTCACCGTTGCGTGTCGCGAGCTGTCGAGAACGGCGCCATAACGACGAAGTATAGTACGTGACGTTGGCAGCGTCCCTTGGTAAGCCGGCGGGGGATTGAATTCTGCGCGCGGACGAGCCCCAGGGGTGTTGAATCTGTGTGACAGGCGATCGTTTCGGCGTATCTATCGACCATGCGATGCCCGATTGAATGCGAAGTCCGTGCTCGCTATTAGTGCGTGTCACGACCTGTCGCGAACAGCGCTGCAACGAGAAAGTGAAGTGCGCGTACGATGAAAAAGTGAAATGATAGAATCCCGTAGCAATCCACCGAGAGTGAACTCCACGCTGCAAACCAGCGATCGTCCGTTGGCCCGTACGAGCGCAAAAAACGCGATGTTTTGGATATGCACAGCCACTGTCGTCCATCCTTTTCCTATGAAACCGCGGCGCAGTTCCAGGAATAAGGAGTGGAAATATTTCTTCCTGACGAACTTTCTGGCAACTGCTTCTGGGAACGATGCCCGAGATATCCTACGTGCTTCGGTGAGTACCACGTCTTTTGTTGGCATTATTATTACATATCGTATCAAGTTCGTTGCTATCTCGGACGAAATACTATTAATTAATGATCGTCCAGTCGTCATCTAATTACATTTGTGGCAATTGTAAACATATGTAGCTTCTCATTAACGATACGTAATATTATCGCGCCGTATAAGGTAACAGCCCTAATTATGGTTCATTCAAGATTAGAATCAGTTTTATTTTTTATATAAATATGCCGATGAAAAAAAATATTAAAAGGAACTCTGTGTTAATGATTTTAAAACATTATATTTTTTACGTCAAATCAAGTAATTTTAGGTGAAGAAAGAGTCGGCCAATAGTAAATAATGTTCTTTAGATTTTTCCTAAATATTAACAATGTTTATGAAGATAACCATAGAACTTCATTGTAAAAGAACTAAAGAAATTTGTTCGCGTTTTTATTATGTTTTTATTATGTTCGCGTTTTTTAATATGTATTAAAAATTTGACCCGAAAAATTGGGACAGTCACTTTATCCGCATATATGCTGCGAAATGAATGAATGATAAATCATATTGTTAACATTGCGTAACGTATCAACCGTCCAAAATATTAGCAGTCAGATAAAATCATGCGAGAAAGTGTCGATTTTATTAATATCATCTCGGAGTATGTTCTACTTAACGCTCGCAACGACGCGAGCGTTAAGTGGAACGCGCCCTCGGAGGTGAACCAACGAAACTTACCGACCGCGATTGAGCGCGCGTACTCACGTTTCCAGCGTCAGATGGCGCTCGCGTCCCGTTCCGCGAGCGCAGCGGCGTCTCCGGATTGACCCGAGTTTGCAGCGCGGCGCGGCGTATCGTTCGGCGGTCGGTGTGTATAATCGCCCGAGTCGATCAGTAACAGCTGACCCGTTGGTCGGTACGTTGTCGTTCCTTACTCGTGAAAGCGAGCCACTCTGTGCCCGCGTCCGAGGGTAGAGTGCCGTGTTCGGCTGCGCGCACATGCGTGTGTTAGTGCGTGCGCTTTGTGTGCGTCCCGGAAGAGACTGAGGCGAGTGGTATGCCGGTCACAGCAGCAGCCGCCGTCGCCGTCCGTCCGTCTGTCCATCCATCCGTCGTGAGCCGCTTCTGTGTGACGAGAGACGACGAATGTTCACGTGCGCACGTCGCGACAGGCACGTCGTGCGAGGTGAGCGATCTCACATTCGACGTCGAGACGCGCTTCGTCAAAAAGGCCGCGCTTGTTTTTACGTTGCAGAATATCGGTCGCGCGCGTTCCTTCCGCGCTACTGCATCTTCGTGAGAGCGAGACAGAAGCGAGCAAACAAACGCGCCAGCGAGCGCTCGTCGACATGCTCCCGTGTTAGCGTCGGAAACATAGCGAAACGTAATTTTCGGTGACGCCGAGAGCGGACGGCAGCCGACCGAGCGCGACTCGAAAGAGGCGCGATATATATATATATATATGTGCACTAGATAAATGTGTATATAGGCGCGCGTATATATACGCGTAACGAGGCGCACGAGAGCAGAGACATGGGAAGAGAAACGGGGGAGGGGAAACCGAGCGAATGAGGTGGAAGCAGGACGACACGTAGGGACGCCGTTGCCGAGACTCGCCCGAGACTCGTGGTCGAGAACGCACGTGGGCAGAGGCGCGACCGACGACATAGTCGCCATGTGTATATATATATATATATATATATAATATATATATATATATGTCTCTGCTCCGCTGAAACGACATACAACACCGTCTTCTACACATACATGTGAACTTTCGCACGAGTGCCGCGCGGACGATCGATGCGCGTTGCATCGGCGAGCCATCGTCATCGGGAAACGAGAAAGGAGCAATGTCCCCGGCACTTATAGGCGGGATCTTGAGCGCGCGTCGTGGTCTCGCACCGCGTCTCGCATCGAGAGAGAGCGAGCGTTTTCTCGCACAAGCGACAAACGCCCGCCATCGGGTAGTGCGCGTTTGCGTGAAGGCGCTTTTCGCTTCTACCCTCTGGTCGCTTCAGGCGCGTGACGTAATCCATTCAAGCGCTTACTACGCAATACACAAGACATGGTCGTGTCTGCTCCCTTCTCCTCTCTTCGTCCATCCCACTCGCTCTGCCGTTTTCTCTCTTGCGCGCTTCGTCGCGCCCGCTCAATGCCTGCGACCTCTTTCGCTCCCCACCAACCCCTTCATCGTCGCCGCGCCGCGTCGCGTCGCGGCGCGCCCTCCTTCTATGTTTTGATCGCTCGCCGCCGGCGCGTAGGGTGCTCTCTTGGCGAAAGAGAGCGATTGGTGAGGCACGATCGACGGAAAAAGCGCGACGCACTCGTAGCTTTTCCGATTCACGTAGGACGCTGCCGCCGCTGCAGAGTCCTCTCATTGCGTGCTCGCCGAAAGGTCGGGCTTTCCAGCTTCCTCTTCCCTCCCCTCCCTCCTACGTTCGGCAGCTCGCATTTGACGCGCGGGCCCGATTCGGAGTTTCGTGTGTGTAACCGACCGACGTATCAAGCTCTTTTTCGCGTGTCACGTAAACGCCAAGTGCGGGGAATCCTACACCCACGCTCTCGTGCGCCGCGCTGAATGCGGCCGAAGGAGCCCACAAGGTTGGTACTCTCTCTCTCTCTCTCTCTCTCTCTCTCTCCCCCCCGCCCCCCTCTTACCACACGCACGCACTCGCCGAGACGTCGTCGTCTATCGTTCTCGCTAACTTGTGGCCGTCTGACTGACACCCGGCCACTTCGTGAAGGACTTTATTTACCGTGCAACTTCCAGCCGCAGATTTACGCACTTGTCATTATGTAACGTGAGAATTATGTTCAATGCCAAGGAGAGTGGTGTGCCGACGAGACGGAGACCAGGTAGCTAGCTTTAACGTTCACCGCGAAGCACGACGGCGTGGATAAGTGTCCCTGAGTATCCCGTGTGCCGCCCTTCTGCATTCTTCTCCCTTCTCTCTTTCTTTCTCTCTCTCATTCTCACTTCACCGCGCTCTCCTTTCTTTCAATCTCCCTCGCGCGAACCCCGTTTCGGTCGGATCCTCATAAAGACGACGACGACGACGACGACGATGGTGTAGGAGTGCGTCCAGCAAGATCAATCGACCGAAGGTGTGCTGCCGCGTGAGATGTGCGACGCAGTAGTTTGTGTACGTCGCGCGCAGCGCGCGGCTCCGTCGTCCTAAAGTGCGGGACGCGTGTGAAAACGTGGCGGCGTCCTCGGTTGTTTACATTTACGCAGCCATCATTTCGCGGCGACGATTCGATCGACCTGTGTTGTGTATGTGTACTTCAAAAGACCGCACGTGAATCAGTACGTCATAAATAGCGCTCTCGGTGGGCGAGCTCTCTGTCCTCTCCTCCACGAGAGAGCCAGTCTTCGCGTTTCGTCGTTACGCGCGTCGCGTGACTTGTCATTTGGAAAAGTAGACGACGATGATCGGTAATCGATGTCCGGGAGTGTTATATCTTATCTAGCTCAATCGCGAAGGTGAGAGCCGTTTCGGATACGCGTCAAACGCGGCCCGTGTTATTGCGCAACATCGCAACTGCCTCTTTAGCGCGAGCAGAGTTCGACTCTGCACGTCCGATAAGACGGGACGACACTCTTTCCGTAAGATTTGATCCGTGAGTCCCTCTCGGGTACTCCGCGTGCGGATCAGATCGCAGGTGTTCGCGAATGAAAGCGCAATTCAGCGTTGCGATCGTAAATAACAGTTCGGATTAATGACGTCGCTGCGTGGTGCACGCTACCTGACAGACGAACCAGGGCGCGATTTCCGCCTGCAGTGTGCCTTTGTAAAAAGCGATATCGAGCGTGTTACGGCGGAGCCCCGCGGCGGGATAAATGAACGGGCAAGACGATACTTTTGCGCGGCATCGCGTAAGGTCGCCGTGCCTCTACCCCATCGCGCGGCGTTGATTCGGCGTTGCATCCGCGTGACGAGTTCCTCCGGCTAAGTTCATCTTGTCTGCATCATTATATCTTTATCGTTCATTATGTGCCAAAGGAAGACACAATGATGCCTTCAGTACAAACGAATGCACCGAGCCTTTGCATGCGAGCGACGGCGGGAAGCGAAAAGCTCATCTTTTCCGCTGAAACGAAAGTCGCGAGCATTTCCGCAAGATAACGCTAAAATAAGTATGAGCAAATGCCGTGTCGCGGAAAAGCTGAAACTCGCGTACGTAACGCCAGATGAGTTTTTATTCGCGACACACGGACTGTGCGCATTGAACGGCAAATCTGAACTGAAAACGCTGCGGACGTTTCTCGTCGAATGCAATTCTTATTTTTCTTTCTCTCTCGTTCTCTCTCTTTCTCTTCTCGCATTTCCGCATCTACATGTATCCATTTTAACAATCAACATAAAACGCGATACTGCATAATGATCGTGGAATAAGCAGGAAATTATAGCCGGCTCTCAGTGCGTGCTTTTACATATTTTACACACGAAACCGTTAGCTTCTTAGAAACAATCGATCGTTCGTAACGCCACGAATAGGTCAAAGAGCGAGAGATCACTTAGCATAATCGCTAATATATTCCCGGCAATATCATTTGGCAAATGTCGTAATTGCATTTCAACGTGCGCGGCTTCGCAAGCTTGTTTTCCTCTTCTTCTAACTGCTTGGAAAACAGGTGTCCCCTCCCTTTAATGTTTATGATGTGCGCTGTCCTGTTTCCAACTTATCGAGAGGGTCATCAATAATTCATGCCGTTTGGCATACAAAATGCAACGTGCGAATGCATTTCCGCGGCATCACAAATTTCGGCCGGAAAGTATCAATACGATGTCGCGGTGTATTGATTTCGGCGATTCCGACGGCATACTCGCGCAAAAATCGGCCAGACAAACGACTCTCGTAATTAAGAACGATACCTGGGCCCTTATTCTTGAAATAGTTGCGTATACGTAAGTTTTACTGCGCAGATTTAATCATACCATAAAATAGCTGCGCAATGAAAATTACGTATACGTAAAAATTTCAAGAATAGGGGCCCTGGAGTCGGATTCTCGAAAATATCTCGCATACGACATTTAGTGAAAAGCTATAGTTCATGTTACGTACTATAGCTTTTCACTAAATGTCGTATGCGAGATATTTTCGAGAATCTGGCCCCCGATTCGCGTATATTCACACGGGCGTGACAGGTTATATCCGACAGGTGTGCAGCAGATTAAAAGCAAGCCACTGCACTGCTTCCGGAACGTTACATACACACTGAGAAAGAAATACTTGCAAATTTATTTATAGAAATACAAAGTTCACACATTCGCAGAAATACATTTTGTTATTTCATGAAAATAAACTTTATTTCGCAGAAAAATATTTATTTCACAACAATAAACTTCATCTCACGGAGGAACATTTTTCATATCCTACAAATAAACATTCAAGTGTGCTTTCTCAGTGTAAGAGGCAGAAGTCGCGCGTTGGTTCGTTAATCAAATCGATCGTGTCAATGTAACGAAATTTTTTGCTCCGCGTACAATAAAACTGAATCCTCTCGCTCGAAACGGCATCATCTCGATCCGATGCTCGACGGGACGAATCTCGCGGAAATCTCAACGGTAGAATAAAGCGCGATGCGCGTTTTGCCGGGTGTGTGCACAGCCGCGCGTCGCCGATAATATTTTTCCGGGATATATTCAGCACGACACGTCGGGGAGCTATCGGACGGACGCGTTCTCGCGAATTCGAAGAGTAAATGTCCATTAATTACATGTTGCATAACGCGTTGAAATCGACCGCGATAAATGCGCGACTAGGTTTATTAACGAAATTCGAAACTAATCCGCCGTGCCGAAGCTGCGACGTGAATACACGAGACTTTGAAGCATTGATATCATCGAACTCGGACAATGTCGTCGGCTACAACATTAACACGACATTAATAGGGCGCTCGCTTGCTCTCTCTCTCTCTCTCTCTCCCCCCCCCCCCT